AACCATTGAATCATGCAGAAATTTTGAAAAATCATTGGCGTTGCCCTTTAGCAAGCTGGCTGAATTGTATTATAAGTACATTCTGTTACTACAATGTATTAGAGGTATAACATTCCAGCCAAATGTAATTAAATATCCACTATAAGTTAGAGTCTGTCAGGAATATAGTGCAGATTATTATCTGACTGATGCTACAGTATGTTAGAGAATCTATGGCATTAGCGGCTCTTCAATTATTCAAAGCTACATCTGGTATAACAAATGATGCTGCTTTTAGTTCTCATCATAGATGAGCAGAATCATTGCACTCACTTGCATTTGGACTTAAATATCTGCCCACAGCCTTTCACAGGGGTTGTACTGCCAAAGAGAGGCCTTCAGTGTTCAATAAACATCAATAAGCGCACCTCAAACTTTTTACAAATACTAAAGCGGCCATGGAATGGTAGCGTTTTTAACACCTGATTGACACCTGATTGACACAAACCCCACATTTAATATCCCACCGATGTTCTTTACTCCACCCCTCTAAATACAGGGGTACTAAAGTCCTGCATTATGCATAATTTGCCATAACATTACTAGACAGGTGGCATAAGATTAATGTGGTTATACTTTGTCTAATAAGGACCAAATAAGACCAAGAACACAAAAGTGCCTTTCAGCACATGGCAGGCCAAATGGTCTCTAACATGGATCAAGGATGCTATGGACTACAAAACCTCACCTTTAACCCTAACAAATGTATTTCAAATAACTATGACTACAGCCTACACTGTGGTACATCAATGCGGTTGGACACATCATTTTCTGGTTAGGGTTGCTTAAAATGTCACAAACTGAAGTTGGCATGACCTACAGTTCAGTTACCTCCTCCAACATATAGCCGATAAAAAAGACTTCTAGAACATACAGCAGAGATACACTTAATAAAGTAGTTTCTCTGTGTGCTGAAGCTACAAAGCTAATGTAGCTATAAACCACACTGAGCTGTTAAGAATTTACTAATAGGATTGCTCATGTGGTCTCTGACTATATGACATATAAAAAAAAATAAAAACAAATTAGCAAATCTACTTGAAACTTCTCAATGTGGTTTGAGGCATGTGTTTGATGAGCATCTTGTGTACATATGCTAACTGATGTATATCATAAATGTATAGCATATCGCTGCTGTCGTAAGAAAACCAAATTTTTTTTCAGTTCTTGACATAATTTGAAAATGCATGTTGTTCTTTACATTGTGTGTAAATTTCATGAATAATGGACCATAAGAAACAGCCCAAAATGACTTGGAAAAAAGTCTGGTTCCATTGACTTACATTAAAAGCAAAGTATTTTTTTCCTTCTCCTGTAAAGTTACCATTTTGGAGAGGTTTTCTTCCGACAACAGCGATATGGTTCATTTGGAGCATTAGCCTCATAGCTGCAGTGCAAAACAGAAGCAAACATGTCTTGGCTGATCAAACACCTTGTGTGTAAGGGTCAGTTTGGGGAAATATTTTTTTTTGGCCAAACTCCTTAAATGCATAGTGCTGTAAAAAGTGGCAACATTTAGTGGACGACTTCAAATTGCCACACAGACTCTGAAAAAAGGTCCACAGGCTCCCTCTTGAGGTCACACAAGACTATGACGAGTAACTGCAGATGATAGGGATTGCATTGAAAACAATTAAATCTAATACTAAATATGAATGTATTATATTGATTTATCTAGGCCTTAAGAAACCATTTTTTATCTTCTTAATCCATTTTTTTCATTTTCAGTATCTAGACAGTCTCCTTTATCTCATTTCCATCACAGCTCCACTAGAGGCAAATTTGAATCTGTATCATTCATCATGGAGAACAGGCCCAATTAAGCGGCTCTGCTATCCTCGCTGAAGACTTACAAGACACACGCGCACATCAAAGTGTCTCGACGAGCCGAGTGTGTGAGAGATGTGATGCTAATGCAGGGAGGGCCGGCGGTGTGTGAGCCACGCGGGGGCGCAGGCCATGGGCAGCCCAAGAGCCTTTTATCTGTCCAAGCAAGATAACACACTTTCCATGCTCAAGTGCTTTTCAAGGAGCTTGTTGATTATATAGGGAGATCTAAATTGGAACATGCAGGGCCAAGAGTGGGAGGCAGAGTCTGTCAAAAGCGCAGGGTTGTGTATTCAAACACAACCTCTTTTCTTCACTGACTAGGATCTGTTTACTTGTAAAATGGGACTGCTTATACTGACAGTTTTCCCTAAACCAATGCCACTTAAGTAGGCATATAAGCAATTTCTGGGCAAGAGAGACCCAGAGTGAATGTACAATGAGATAAAAGCCAAGATCTCTATTGCAACATGTCATTATATTGCAATATGTTGGCAATATAGTCCAAAACTTAAAGGAATTCTCCAGCTACCTTCAACCTAGTCTCCTAGTCTCTATCTGCTTCATCTGTATCATACATTCAGTTACTACAGCTGTTGTTCATGCAAAACACAATTAAATCAGAAGCCAACAGAAACCTGCCTCAGCACCTGCCCTTTGGCTTTTATTATAAGTGTGTTGTGAATCAGATGCTGCAGACAGAGAACATATTGAAAAATGTTTTAAACAGACCATGTAATATATCACTGCTACTGAAACAAAACTTCATATCTCCAAAAAGTTAACTTTACAGGACAAGGAAAAATGTTCTTAACTTTTAATGGGAATAAATACATTTTTAAAAATTCCAAGTAATTTTGGACCATTTCTGTTGGTGCGTTCATCATGACATTTTGACACATCATAAAGGGCAACTGACCTTTTCAAATGAAGTCAAAAAATGAAAACTGGAGATACCAGACAAAATGGGACAAAAATGGAGATACAAGGTTTTGTCCCAACAGCAAGAGTACAGTATATTTTCAGTACATTACATTTTGGGGGGAAATGAAACCATAGCTAGAACAAGACCCAAACGAGCACAAACTCTGCTAAAACCAACCACGTCGAAAAGCTTGATCATTTAAAACCTTTAAGGAACATAGTGGCCACTGTGAGAGCACTAGGGATCCCATACACCCCTCCATGGCTCTGTACTAAATGTCAGTGTAGTATCAAATGGAAGTCTGTTTGTTGTGTTTGTTTGTGAAGTACACTGTGGTTTTTGTACAGCCTTCACAACTGACTCCGCAACATCTTGGATTACAGTATTTTGGTGACATCTAGTGGGAGAAATACCAAAATTCTCTCATATCATCTGACATGAACACCGACAGATAACAGAAAACAGGACCAACAAACTCTTTAATAGTCCTGTCTTTGATAGACAATTAAACTACATACATAAGACAGGATGGAAGAAGCTCCAAGATGAGTTAATAAAGGCATTTATTAACTGAAAGCCCAAGTTCATTATAATGCTACTGTAAAGGCTCAACATTTTCACGTCTGATTGCACCCTAAATACGGTAGCAAGTTCCTCCGACATTAAATATTTATCAGCTGACATCAAATATTCAGCAAGGTTAGGATCCAGGAAAAGGGTGTGTGTGTGTGTGTGTGTGTGCGTGCGCGAGCGGGGTAGCAGAAAAGGGCAGCAGTGGACAAAGACTGCTTTCAGATCTAAAAGAGCATCCATCTGTAATCTGTGCGCATTTGTTCCTTTCGAGCATTTCCTTTTTATTTAAGTAAAAACTTGTATCAGTTGAATCAATGGTGGACTGCAATCAGTTGACTTAAGGCACTTGTTACTACTCAATACCTTTGGTATCAGAAAAGTAGAAAAGGACACTGTAAATGGGATCATTAATCTAATTATTCAACTTATTTATCTTCTAGATGGACTGACAATATGTAAACAATAATTGATGGGAAGGCAAATATACAATATCACAATACTTGAAGACATGTTCACAACAACACAACAGTTAGTTTTCCGAAATTTCATAAGCTGGAACAGACAGAATGCCCCAGCAGTGCCACATTTAAAATACTATCAAAAAACTTTTAATATGACGTTAACCTTACGTCAACGTTTCACACGTTGTGCTGCACTAAATCCAAAACGGACCAATTACGCTCTCTTTTTAATGAAACGTGCATTTGGTCAACGTTCTTCAAGCACGATATGCTCAAAAAGTGTATTGTGACGTAATTTATCACGATACCATAACAAATACTGTCATATTGCCCATCCCTTCACGGCGGTGTCAAGTAGCCGGCAGTTTAATGCAGGTTAGAGTTACATGCTGCTTTCAGACACATTAATTGAAAATACGTGCTAGGCATTCGCCTGTCGTTCTCAACCCACAGATAAAATGTCTATCTTTAAAAAAAATACACGTTTGTCTGTCATACATGGTCTAATTTAAGACCAAATCCCTGCTTTACTTTGAAAATGACCGGTCCGGTCTAAGTAGTTCTACACTAGCACCTGTCATTGCTCCACTGTAATTGGTCGAGTGAAGCAACTTCCAGCGCAGAGGGACGAAATGTTTACTAAACGGTTTATGTTGATTTCAGCTGGATTCAACTAGAATGTTCCAGTTTCTGACTGAAACCAAAATTTCATCACCAATTTGTAGTTGAAATTGAGGAGATAACCGTTAGAGTTACGCTAGTTATACGGTGTGTAGTGCACTTCACCTCAGGCCAAGCGCCAGGCTAAGGCTTGCTAGGCTACAAAACATCAAAATATAAACTCAGGAGCAGAAATTACACACGCGCTCAGGTACAGAAGAATGTGGAGCAGCTTGGACTTGCCTGACAGACTTGGCGTGTTTCCGAAGCGCCTCGCTGGTCAGCTGGTGGAAGGAGGTGAAGGGCTGAGGCTCCGCTGAAATGCCCTGAGCCCTCCTCGTCCTGGGTCCCATCATGGAAGCGCTGGGCAGCACCGACTGGCACTTGTGCAGCTTTCTCTTCAGCTCGGCTATCTCGTCCTCCTTTTCGGCAAGCCTCATCTCCATCTCTCGGATCCTCTCCTCCTTCAGCAGGAGAATCTTGGCGAGGTCTTCTTCCAAAGCGCTCATTTTTTTTGGAGAGAACTTTAGACCCTCGCTCTCCCACGAAGAAAAGGGGACGCGAATTTCTGCACGGTAACTAGCGATTCTTTGGCTTGTTGTATAATTTTCGTCGAAAATGTGGTCGGGTTTAGTTAGTGGACACTGATAGTGCTCATCCCTCCTTTAGACTAGCTAATGCTCGTGTTTCATTCAGAAGCCGGCTAGTCAAACCCCCCTCTCTCTCTCTCTTTCCCTCTCTCTCTCCCACAAGAGGGACGTGGGTCACTCACAAGCAAGCAAGTCAGCAATCAGCCGCACAGGGGAAGGCTGAATAAACTGTCCAGGGGAGAAAAACTACTCCAAAAGCTGTCTTTCTGAGCCCAGGCTGCCCTCCTGAAATAGCCTACATTACCATATGATTATGATTGGTGACGTAGTTCCATGTAACTCGACCCAGCACTTGAAGACCATGCTGAGACTGATGGTATAGACGAGTGCTTCACAGTGCTTCTACTGGATTAGTCCAGCCTTGCACAGTTTAGTGTTTTCACTCCTCCTCATTCAACTCATCGGCTCATTGATAATGTTTTCAGACCTTTAATATGGTTAAAATTGGTGACAGAGCCTGGAAAACGCTAAACTGTGCAGGGTTGACTGACTGCAAGACCAGGACTGGGAAATGCTAGCATGGATACTTCCTATCTAAAGCAATCAATGGAAGGCTCTTCTCAGAGCCTGCCAAGCTTACACACAAGAACATTCCAAAGAGAGACATAAACACCTCTTGGGTAACCTTAAAAACCTTCATGACCCATAGATAATTGTTTTATACACAGGAAAGTCATTGAAGCAAATCCCATCTCATTCTGTGTGTTATGGAACAGCCACTACATTCTGACAGTTCCGTAGATGGGATATTTTAAAGTGTCTGAATCACGCAGCTCAACCCAAGATGATGTAGCAGCTCGTTATTATAACCTCATCGCCAATGTCTGTCACAACACACGATTGTAATTTTTCAGGCAGACGAGAAAAAGTGCCGGTCTGATTATCATATCATTTTGCCGTGCTGTGTATTTTCTGGTAGCCCGCAACGATTAGGTTATTATGTTTCTCAATAAACTGCAATTTTTTACTAATTGAACATAAATATATTTCATACTGTGAATACTGAGGGCTCATATGAATGCCTGATGGCCATCCAACAGTAACTACGGTTAATCTTTACAAAGCCACTGGTCTGGAATATGGAAAAACCTTCCCCCCTCCTTGTTCCATCAGACTGCCCAAATACAGAGCAACGTGAAGCCCAAGGCTTGGGGGCATAACACCCAGGACGTCTGTTACCTGTTGACTTTGTCATCACGCCATTTCTGTGTGATGTATGATGTTAGCAATAGAGATTAGAGGTGTGTGATAAAAGAATTATTTCAAAAGATTATTTCAACAAATATTTCAGCAAAATACATTGTTAAAAATGAGACAAAACTATGAGGAAATGGAAATACCATTAATAACTGTTTTTGTACAGCCAGCAACCAGTAAATGAGTGATGAATAAGTGCTGCTACTGCTGGAGCTGTGCAATATGGAGAAAATTATTTCAATAAATACTTTAGAAAAATACCTCAATACACAATAATTAAGAAGAAAAACAAAAATTGGGTAGAAAAAGCAAACCTTTAATTACTATTTCGGGCATTCTGGTGTGAGCTGCTGGAGCTGCTGGTGCTGCATTTACAAATGCCTCAGTAACAGACAGACATCTTATAGCCTCATTGACTGTAGCCTGTATGAGTTAAACCACTCGCTACATACTTTTCAAATCAGAGTAGCCTATGCAGCTGCAGTTAAACTAACTGCAGTTAAATTTGTTACTATAACAATGAATTGTAAAATTTTTATGTATTATTGTTATATTATTATTGCTATAAACAGATGAGCGTCACTAAACCTCAACACTCATTAAGAATGGGAAGATCTATGAACATGCATGACTGTGCAAATTGCATCTGCCCTGCCCATTCCCACATTAACCCTGCACACCCTTTCTGTCTGTTACAGACCGAACAGACTGAAATGAGGGCGAGCACAAACGTATTTTGTCTTTCTGTCACTTCAGGACCAGTTACTCTGTTTTGTTCCCTCAGATTTGGGTCTTTATCCTCTGAACTTGCCTCAGCGCAGTGTCAGTGAGTGAGAATTGCTGGTGGTTTAGCCTTTTCTCTAAGCTTACATTCTCCGGTGTTACAAGGCTATAAATTAAAAGTAGTTTAAGCTAACAGCTTCACACAAAAAAACAGGTTTATCCGCTCTGGATTTGAGTCTTTATTCTCTAAACTTGTGTCAGTGAGCTTTCAAGGAGTCAGAAGTGTGTAGACATTACGCCTTCTTACTAGGCCAAAAGTAGCTTCAAGTGAACATGGAGGAAAAGTACCTTATATTAACAGGTCCACACACAAATACACAGGTTTACTTGCTCAGATTTGAGTATTTATGCTCAAAATTTGTGCCATTAAGGTGTCAGTGAGCCTAAATGAACCTATGCTGAAACTGATGCATGCTACTTGCTACCAGAACAGTGCCAGGCGCCGATGAGAGGTAGGATGAGGACAGCATGAGCCCCGCAGTTGAATACCTGCAATGCCTCCTGGGCCTCACCTCATGCCTAGCGGCACGGATTCGACCTCAGCAGCATTGCAATGGGATTTGAGGACTGAGGCGGTGGGGTCGTGCAATGCATGAGCATGTAAGTCAAAGACATTGTTTTTCATTCAAAAATGTATTCCAAACACTAAAGTACATTAAGCGAAAAACATTTTTTGGCCATTTTCCTACATTTTCAACTGTATTTGATAAATACAGTTTACATGTATTTCTTTTCCATATGAGATTGTGTTTAAAAAAAAAAGTAGGATAAATAAAATGTTGATACCAGATTATCACCAAGCTCTATTGGAGATGTGACCTTATCTCATCAGATGACTGCATCCGATTAGGCAGATCACCTTAACTCCAATTCAGTCCGGCCTGCTTTGATTCATATGGAGACATGCTGCAATTCACAAAAATTGAGTGTGGCTTGTCTCTCACATCTAATGAAAGTGTGTGTGCGTGTGCACGCACACCATCCGGCGCTCTCCGGGGGGGGGGCTCAGCTTTCACTGGAGCTCTGGCAGACATTAGTCACCGGCCTTCCTGTAATGCATACAATTTCTCCCGTCGAAACCGTAGAGTGTCTCTAATGCGAAGACAGGATGTTGCAAAATCGATAAATGTTTATCTCATGCGCTTGCCCAGCAAAAGCTATCTAGATGAACATGGAGGAAAGAGGGTGGTCATTAGCTCGTCCGATGCTGTTGAAAGGATGAGCTGTATGTGTGTGTGTTGGGGGGGGTGGTTATTTTTGTGGAAAGCTCTAGAGCTATGAGACAATAATATGAATGTATGAATAGTGAGTCATTTGCTTACATGGTTGTTGGCATACAGTGCAGACAGAGAAAAAGAATGGGCCAGAGGCAGAAAGTAAGAGACAGAGAAGAAATATTATATAACCCTTTTAGAAATTCTTGTGTTTAAGGATATTATGCAGTATTTATAAGGGGTTCACAATTTATGGCCAATATATTGTAAGTTGATGAATGGGAAAATTACAGTCGGTAATTACAATAGATAAGTTAGCACCCTATTTGTAGGTTATTTCAGACACTGAAGCATGTGTAGTCAAAAGAACAAATTTCTGTAAAATAAATTCAGTACTTGCTCCTCGCCAAGGACTGCACTTTTCACTGTTTACTAATGACCGCATCTCCATTGACCCCTCTGTCAAAATCCTGAAATTTGCAGGTGACACTACAGTGAGATGGGGATGAGTCTGCTTATAGACGGTCGATTGAACAGCTGGTCCTCCTGGTGAAATCAGAACAACTTAAAGCTGAACCGACTCAAAACAGTGGAGAGGACACTGGATTTCAGAAGGAGCCCCACATCCCTGCCAGTCAAGACTGTGATGGCTGTTCCTAGGAACTATAGTCATCAGGGACCTGAAGTGGGGTATCAAATTAACTCAATTGCTAAGAAAGTCCAGCAGAAGATACTTCCTGTGCCAGTTGAAGACATTTAAGAGCTGATTCAGTTCTACACAGTGGCCACATAGTCTGTCAACACCTCAGTCGCAATATGGTGCAGCGCAGCCACCAAACATCACATTTACAAACTGCAGTGCATCATTAGGTCTGAGAACTTTGTTATTAATGTACCCAGCTTAAACTGCACACCTCCCGAACTAGAGGCATGCAGAGAAAATTATTTCTGACCCATCGCACACAGACTCCTTCAGGTAGGCTCTGGAAGAATTTCCTTCCTTGTGCCATTAGACTCATGAACAATTAATGCACATCACTTGTGTTATTTGACACACTAATTTTGTACTTTCTTATATTATTTTATTCAATATTACTGTCTCCTACTCAGCTGCTGTTCTCTGCATTATACACAAATACTTTGTACACTCTAGTTTTTCACAGGTGAGCAAGTGTGAAATTTCTGTTGTCTACTGTTTATACAGAGCTACTCAGACAAATTCCCTGTATGTGCAATCTAGGTCTGCAACAGCTAATTGACGTTATCAATAATGTTGACAGTAAAACATTGTTTATCACACTTGCATGCAATTAGACATTTCCACCAGAGAGGACTTCACATCCCCAAAGGCTTACATGGTGTAGCTTCAAAAACAATCAAAAAAGTATTTAGCAGGCTTTCATGTAGCTTTACCACCACATTGCCTGCTGTGCTGAAAGGAGGTATTAGAGAAAGGTGCCACAAATATTGAATAAGAGGCTACTCAACCTGTAGTTATGGATAGGATCAGCCTCACTGCACTTCATATATGGATTGCAGTGTGAACTTGTTTTGAAGTGCAAACATTATTGGTTATTATTGGTTATCGTTACTGGCACAGTAAATTGTGCATCAGTGCATCCCTAGTATTTGAACGCTGATGTCTCCATTGTCTCATTATTTACAGGCTTTCAAAGACACTCAGGTGATGAGAAGATGTTTATTTTTAGGGATACTCTCTCTCGTTCTCTCTCTCTTTCTCACTTTGTTCTCTCCCTAGTGTCACACATTACTTCTGCACTTGCTGTAATTACCAGGGGATCAAGCTTGCATTTTCAACGCCTGTCTCGTTTCCGTGCCCCACATTTAGTATTTCCCACATGCCTGACTACTTCTCCCAGGAGTTCTTCCAGTTCAGTCCCAGATATAGGAAGCTGCTGGCAGTGTACATTACATCATGAACGGCGGGACACATTTTTTATAGGCAGCGCCAGTCATCAGTATTGTGACCAGACATACCATGGTTCCAATGTTCTCCTGTCCAGTAATGTTACGTTAAGATCAGTTTGAAAAGATGCAGTGGCTGACGTCACTTCACTCAGCAGACGTCCCTTTCCAGCCTGGTATCATTCTGTGATAAGAGGGAGACCTAGCTAGCAGATGAAATTGATCACACAGAAATTGGGAACAACACTAGAAAAAAAAAACATAATAAATGAATTAATTAATTACCTAAAAACTACATTTGTTGGACTACAGATTTTTTATTCTTTTCAAATGTGGTCACATGTTGATCACAACAGCAGACTTATCAAATGCTGACTTAGCATATGACACGCCATGCTAGCTTGTAATCCACAATTTCTTGATATCAGAAATTTCAAACATGGGCACAGTCCATATTTTGCACAGCAATTCAAAAAAAACGCTATTAATAAGATGATATCTGAACTACATGATGGATAAACAACAGGCTGTAAAAACATTCTTTATTGCTTATCCTTTTGATCTTCCATTCAAAATATTAACAAAAATCTAACCTTTTTAGAAATTTAGAAATAAATATTTTTCTCAAGTCTCTGTCTGCCACAATTATTGGTACTCCTTCATTTAATACTTTGTGTAGGCTCCCTTTGCAAGGATAACAGCTCTGAGTCTTCTCCTATAATGCTTAATGAGACTAGAGAACACATGACACAAGATATGAGACCATGCCTCCACGCAGAACCTCTCCAGATCCTTCAGATTGCAAGGTTCGCACTGTGGACTCTCCTCTTCAGCTCATCTCACAGGTTTTCACAGGTTTGTTGCCAAAAACCTCTATTTGTTGCCTCTAAAAACCTCTAACCTCTCTCTCGTCTGACCATAGAACATGGTCCCACTCAAAGTTCCAGTAGTGTTTTCAAACTGTAGGCGCTTGAATTTGTTGGTCCTTGACAGCAGAGGCTTTCTTCTGGCAGCCCCCTCCTTTTCAAATAACTTGTGGTTATATAGGTGGTGTTTGATTGTAGTTTGGGAGATGTTGTGATCCCAAGATCTAACTAATATCTGTAATTCCCCATCTGTGATCCTGAGATACTTTGTTCACTCCAATCATCCTCCTCACTGTGCGTGGGGTCTGTATAGACATACGTCCTCTTCTCAGCAGATTCTTAATATTTCCAGTTGTTTTAAGCTTCTTAATTATTGCTCTGATAATAAAAAAGGGGAATTCTCAGCTGTTTAGCTTTTTTCTTGTAGCCATTTCCTGATTTGTGCAGCTCAACAACCTTTTTGTCATACAGCACTGCTGTTTTCCCTGGTCTTTCTCATAACGATGGATAACTGAGAGAATTTGGACTGTGTTTTATCTCATATATATTCTCCAATGAAGCAAGAGATCATTTATATACACACACACACACACACACACACACACACACACACACACACACACACACTAAATTGCCCCTAGGTGTGAATGTGTGTTTGGATGTATACACCAATCAGGCATAACATTATGACCACCTCCTTGTTTCTACACTCATTGTCTATTTTATCAGCTCCACTTACTATAAAGGTGCACATTGTAGTTCTACAATTACAGACTGTAGTCCATCTGTTTCTCTGCATACTTTGTTAGCCCCCTTTTACCCTGTTCTTTAGAGGTCAACAACACTGTGTCCACTCACTGTCCACTCTATTAGATACTCCTACCTTGTCAGTCCACCTTGTAGATTAGATACTCCTACGCTGTTGGCTGGATATTTTTCATTGGTGGACTATTCACTGAGGTGTTTAAAAACTCCAGCAGCACTGTTGTGTCTGATCCACTCAGACCCACGCAACACACAGTAACACACCACCACCACGTCAGTGTTACTGCAGTGCTGAGAATGATCCACCACCCAAATAGTACCTGCTCTGTGAGGGTCCATGGGGGACCTGACCACTGAAGAACAGGGTAAGAGGGGGCTAACAAAGTATGCAGAGAAACAGATGGACTAGAGTCTGTAAGTGTAGAACTACAAAGTGCACCTATATAGTAAGTAGAGCTAATAAAATGGACAATGAGCGTAGAAACAAGGAGGTCATAATGTTATCCCTGATCAGTGTATGTCTGTCTGTCTGCTCTGCGATGGACTGGCTGTCCAGGGTGTTTTCTGCCTTCCGCCCAATGACCACTGGGATAGGCTCCAGGACCCCCTTGTCACCCAGAAGGATAAGCGGTTTAGAAACTGTGTGTGTGTGTGTGAAAGTGCAGTGCAACTGACAGCCAAAAATCACAAGCATGGTATGTTTAGAGTTCGAGAGTAAAGGAAGTGAGTATGTGTGTGTGAGAGTGGGTGATGGAATATGCTATCACTGCCTGTGTGTCCTTTGCCACCAATCTTAGTGCATTGGGGTAAAAATTGTTGGTGAAGCAGCTTCTGCGAGTAACAAGACTTTCGGGTCGTTGACTCTAAAGGCTGTATTTGGTATCCTTCCAGGTGAACAAATGCTGCCCAGAAGATGAGAGTCTCTGATGATGGCACGTGCCCTCCTGTGGTAGCGATGGGTGGCTAGAGACTGAATGAAGGAAAGAGCTGTGCCGGTAATTTTTTCTTTTATCTTCTGGGCAGCATTTCCAAACCATACTGTTATACGTCTGGTAACGACAGTAGAATATTGTCAGAGACTGTTTCCTCACTGACTTTTTCAGGTGACAAAAGAAATATAGATGGTGTTACACTTTTGATGATGGCTGTGTTTATTGTGTACCAGTTCAGGCAGTTTGAAATGTGTAGATCCAGGAGTTGGTATGCTCCACTTCCGTACCCTTGATGAAAATAGGATGGAGTGGGGGACTTTCCTCCTGAAGTCCAGAATCAGCCAGGTCATTGTCTTCCCCATATGCAGTCAGGTTACAGACCAGCTGACGATTTGTGGAGTTATTGTTGTTGTGGATCAAGCCCAGGACAGTAGTATCATCTGCAAACTTAATAACTAGTTTGTTACTATGAAGAGATTCGTAATCTCACCATCGCCAGAATCACTACCTTTTACTTGCTTTGAGTTGAATAATTCATTTATTGTTTTACAGCAGTTAATTCTCTTTTGTTTCATAGCAGTCTCTCAGTGTACGTTGCTATCAGGATGACACAGTGTGTTTACTCTGCTCCAAGAGTAATGATGAGGTTCCGGAACACTGAGTAGTGATGGATCTGGCAGGTGAGTGAAGGGGGAAAGGTCATGTGATGAATAAAACATTGTGCAGCGTTAAAAATAGACATGCAGATCAGTATCATTTCTTTACCATAGCTGAGCTTCCTGTCATTTCATCATATTCTTTGTCATATGTGGGTTTTGTAAAAAGGACTTTTCCAAATTTTATGGGCAAAAAAAATGTTTCAAGTTTTGAAAATGTTTCAAGTTTTGAAAACAAGCACAGGTATGGTATTGTTGTCTTTCACATTGAGCTCAAAATGATGAAATTAATCAGAGCCAGTTCGATTTTCTTCTTCATACGGCTACATTAAAAATCAGGCTGACCAAGTTATGGCCTTGGTACAAAAGGTCATTTTCCCTCCATTGGATCACATGTTCAGACAACTCGCAGGTGGATTTGATCTACTGAGGCTTTTGCACAAACTTATGGCGTCACACACGGTCAGAAATTTAAAAATTCATGTAAACATTCAAAGATGCTGCTTTTCAGTCAAATTGTTATGCTGATAATATGATTTGTAATGAAAAACCTTTTTTGTTTTTTGTACAGGATCCACAAAAATAGATACTGCCGCCCTCCACCGTCTGCTTCAAGTAAACCCATGTGACGTTACGGCTACTTGACTGGAACAGCTTTTCCGCACAAATTCCTGCCTGACATGGCAAACAGACTGCATAAGGGCATCGCGCCAGATGGGCCCGGTAACCTAAACTCCTCAAGCACTTTCTGCAACACAATGTAAACCAACCTATCAGACCTTTCTTCGGTGAATGATTTTTGTATAGATTAGTCCTCCTCTCTCTCTCTCTCCAACCATATCTCTTGCCTCTCTCTCTATCGCCTGCTATCTCTCTGTCTGTCTAAGTCCCTCTCTTTCTTTTCCCTTTCTTGGAGCCCACAGATGAAAAGGTCAAGGCACTTGTATCGTACTATTTTCAACACGGCAGTAAGAAACTGTCAGAAAGGATAAGCCGCCGCCTGTTACTTTGGAAGAGAAAAGAGAGGCTGAGGAGGGGGGAACTGTCCTCCAGGGCAGACGGCCAGGAGATTTTGCATAACTGTCTAATTTCTCAAACAGAGAGAGAGAGAGAGTGAGGAAGAATTGACTTTGTCTTGGATTTCGCGTAACATGCCCTCAAAGTGCACATGCTCACTGAATCACATGACAAATTGCAGGGTGCAGCCAAGTGAAAGCGATCGTCTGCTGATTGTTATTTATTGTTCTTTTAATCTTCATTTGATGTCAGACCACAGTGAAAAGATTTGCTCCATTTTTTTGGATTGGAGCCTTTGAGGAAATATTTTGCCTGTCCAATAACAGACCTCAGTCATTTTGCCTTATAATAATAACATAATAATATAACATAATAATGTAATAATAACCTTTTCAGACAAAGCGCTCATGTCCTGAAAACCAAATTTTCCTAAATTCTTCAGATAGAATGGTTTTATGTTCTACCTTTACATATATGGGTCATTCTACAGAAACATACACTTTTGTATCTGTCCATAGGGGTCACTGGTGTTACTGGTCATCATTTGTGTTACACATAAGAAAGTTAACACCGGAGACATTTTTAATGAAATATGCATTTTACAAAATGACTGCTACAGAGCATCAAACCACATGTTGTCAATCATGAAATATCCACTAAAATATGTAATTTAATCCATTTGTATTGTATTTTTTCACAATTACCTAAGAATAAAGTAGGTCACACCAGTGACTTCAACTAAAAGGTTCATGTGAAATCATGAGCTAAATGAGAAACATTTCTGATAACTGAAAAGACACAGTGGACTCACCATTTGCTTTTCTTCATACATTTATAGAAAGTAGGTAAAAGGAAGTCAGGTGATGTCATCAGTGTGATTTTTATTTCAAAATAAGAGATTTTTTGTTACGCAGTAACACCAGAGACACGACTTTTGGGAACTTTCATTATATATTTTATAATATTTGTCTGGCATTTGTTTTCTTCATGTCATTTAAATCATATATTTCATAGTCATGTATAAATTATTGCAGTTAAAATTGCAGAAAAAACATGTTTTTTACCTCAAAATATGACCTCACCCTTTACACATGACTGTGGGGACGAGCTCTTCTGTGGTGCTTGGAATTCAACATAATTGATTTAAAAACCAACATTACTAAATTGAGGTTCAAGAAGTTGTAATTGTTAAAATAACTTATTGTTTTATTTAAAAATATAAATAAATTGTAACCCTAACAAGTGTAATATATCTGTAAATGCTAGGGACACAAAAATGGACATTTCCATAGAATGATTCTTATACATCTGGCAGATGCTTGTATCTAGAGTGACTTTGAGTTCAGTCATATTACAAACGTAGCATTACGAGTCTCGCCAAAGGGCTCTTATTGGTTTAGTGTGACATGCTTGCCTGGGAATCGAACCCCTGGTTGGAGGGCATCTGCTATGCAAGACCACAAGCTACTTAAACATTGTTAGTTTCCAAATGTACTGTCCAGCCCCTTTGAAGGAACGTGCATTTGAATTTTTGTTTGACAAAATGCCATAAAGTAATTTTATGTGCATGTAATTTTTAGTTGGTGTTTAGTAGGTGTGTTATGGACAGCTGTGTGCCTTCACAGCCGGTCACGTCTAGGCTAACATTGTGTCAAACAAAAGAGTTCCCATAAAATCCTGCTGTAAAGAGTTACAGCCTAAATTATTCACTGTCAACTGAATGCATGTAAATATTATTCTTCTCTGACTCTTTCAAATGCAATCACAGTTGAATTAGCATAATAAAGGATCCAAAGTCTTGTCTGTGGTCGAACCCAAACATTACGTTAATAATTACTGGACAAATCTTTCATACAAATGTGCTTTCCAGTGATGCTGCGGTCTTTTTATTTGAATTATTTTTCATGCCATTTCCCCAGAAATATGAAATTACTTTTATCGGATTTTGCTCTTGTCCCTGGCTTATAAAGTAAAGCTCAGAAAAACATGTTTACGTCCAATTCAGTGGCAGCAGTGGTTGTGCTGAATAGGGAGGGGATGGGGCAGTGCACAGATACAGAGACAGTCAGTCAGAGAGAGAGAGGAAAAGCTGCCTTATCATCGAGCCTCATCCAATCAATAAACACAGCATGAAAGCCTAGCGTTCTCCTTTCTGACACATTAATATTCTTGGCTGCCTGAAACTGCAGCAACAGAAACCTGGGAAGGAAGGTCATTGGAGTTTCTTTTGTAGCCTGAGATGGCAGAATGGACAGAGTGACTCCCCAGAAATCCCAACATAGTCCAAAATGAATCTTGCATTTGGCATTATGATAAAAGTAACAAGATGAAAAATTCCTTTAGGTTGGAACATAAAGCTGTCAGAATTTTTGGTGACGCTTTATTTTGAGTGGCTCTTTTAGATGAAACAAACACTCAACAGACTCTCAGTATGGTCAGAAACATATGAGGATTAGGATTAGGTTCTGAGTTGAGGTTAAGGTTAGGGTTAGGATTAGGGCCAGAGTTAGGGTTTAGGTTTTGGGTAAGGTTGGGTTTCGCATAATGGAATAACATATTAACAATAAATCTACTTAATGTAAGTAATGTTTCAACAGTACATCTAAAAGATATTTACATCAATGTATTCAGATGCTTCACTACTGCTGCTTCACTTATATGTTGTTGATGTGTTACTGATAATCTGTTAAGAGTTTATTACTCATCTATAAAGGACCACTTCAAATAAAGTGTTACAGAATTTTTGATGCAAGTGTTTAAGACCTCATATAATTTCTTCTGCTATAGAACAGTTGCATCAGGATTGACCCTTGTAGTGGTATTTATTGTTTAAACATTTTTTAAAGTTTCAAAACCATCTCCCCCCCGATCCAAATGTGAAAACTAAGCTGTAAAAAGCAGCTCATTTTGAAATTCATTGGTTTTTGTGGTGTCACTAAAACCAATACATTTACATATATCCACCTATTTTCAGCCTACAGCAGTTTAGCCCCATCCATTTACCCTAAAGTCATTTGGAGTGTTTCAGCTCGGATTGCTTTTTGAATGAAGCACAATACAGGGCAGCCAACCAGAGCAATGGTCATTGACGTAGATTACATATATCAATCTTAAAAGCACAGTAACAAATTTTCTTTATTTGTTAAGATTACTGTAATGAGTACAGCATGTTTAAAATGCAGCAGCTATTAAGGAATCTGAACACATCACTCCCATTCTCAGTAGGCTTCATATATTGCCCATTCACATCTGATTGTTGAAGTACTCCTAAAAACATATAAAGCACTTCATGGTCTCGTCCTACCATACCCGAAACAATTACTTCATCCATATACGCCTGCTCGTAACCTGAGGACAGTCAATTCCGGTCTTCTTACAACCCCGCAATACAAATCATACTCTATAGGCAGATCTGATGTTTTCAGGGCTGTGTGGAAATCTGATCTTTTCAAATCCAGCCTGAGCCACTTTCATATGTGGTCCTAGATTGGATACATATCTGATTCATGGCCATGCAACCTTAATGTGACGCTCAGATTGGAATTCATGTGCTTTTTTTCCACTGCTCGTGCGCCATCATTCAGCGTTACCATGACAGCAGCGCCAAACAGAAATTAAAGCCTGTACATCATGGAAAAAGCAACACATCTCACCTTTTTCGCCTTCATCTCTCTCTAATAATGAACAGCTGAGAACTGATCAGAGTTAATTAGCTCCGCAGCAAAGCCTCGTTCTACTCGTTAGTTTGTTTGCTGATGATGCACGTGATTCATTCACGTGACATTACTGAGTAGGATGTGCGCATGAGGATCGTTTCAGGATGCTGGTTCATTCATATTAATGACAGATTTGAATCACTTACCTAAACGAGTGTGAACCATCGTGTCAGAGAGATCGGATTTGAGCAAAAAATCTGATTTGAGCAATGAGGCTTGTAATGTGAACATAGCCTTTGTGTGTTATTAGAGGTGCCATAGAATGCATTTATTCAGTATCTTAAATTATTCTCTGATGTCTACATAGAAGCTGTGTTACTTTGTAACAGTGAGGCACAATGATGGCTCACACGGAAGCAATATGTCGAAATAGTCACAGGCACTAAAATAAAAGGAACCTCTATGTAAATAAGCTAGGTTGTCATACTATTTAGTTAGCTATGCAAATTAAATTGGAACTTGCTAGCAGCAAACATTACCTATATTAGCGACTTGCTTTTGATATTGACAACAACACAAAGTACATTAGGCAAGCAAGCAAAGCAAGCAAATTTTAGTTATATAGCGCTTTTTACAACAGGTGTTGTCACAAAGCAGCTTTACAGAAAAAACAGGATTAAAGAAAGAAATCCGGGTCCAAAACAATTAAAGTTGTTAGCTCACTGTGAAACTTTAAATTTAAGGTGAGCCAGCTTCAACTGTCAAAAAGTGGACACAGCATGGCTGCTACTTACAGGTTGCAGTTGGGGTTGTGATGCTAATAAAGTTGAAACTGCTCGATATTGTCCAAGGTTTGAGAATCTGTTTGCAGTGAAATGTGCAGAGCAAACTAGCTAACAACTCTGATTTAAAGTTGTCAGGGATCTTTTGCAAGATGTGGCTTCCTATTCGCCAGCTTGTTTCACGAATTCCACCTTAAATGGTGCCACACTTTACATCTGGCGCCTGTACAAGCTGTAGCATTTCAGGTGGAATGAAACATTCGATTAAGAAGCTGGTGAATAGGAAGCCAACTTCAGCCTCGTTTGAGTGAACATCACCCAAGCCTGTTGACCTTTTACATTTAGAGCATTTAGCAGACGCTCATATCCAGAGCAGTGCTTTGTTGTGCTTTGTTGTGTACTCAGAGAAAGTATCTTCGCTAGTTACAAATAGGTTAGAGAGAAAGCTAGTCCTGAGCTCAGATATTGCTAGAAACAAAAGCCTGGCAATTAAGCACAAGGTTTGCCAAGGCTTGTGACTAACAGAGTCTAAGCTAATGTAAGTTTCAACTCAGAGCCTACTTTTACCAGCAGAAGGACAAATCTCAGTCAGAAGACAGAAGCACACTGGTTGGTTGGGCCTTCAGAAAGAAAGTTGCTGGTTCTTTGTAAAGGGCGTAAAAAGTGGCTGGAATGGTACATGTCTGCACATAGTCCCTCATTTTCTTGTTGTTGCTTCGTTGTCGTGTGTAAATATTAATGAGCTGAGACTGTTACATAACAGTCTAGGATTTTGGAACTGGTCTGTTTTACTGCCCTCTTTTGCAAATGCAGGATTTGTATTTGAAGGAGGTAACAACATTGTTTGAGTACGGTATGTCACTTCTATGTACCAAGCTCTCCTTATTTAACTAGGCCAATGTAAATACAGTTTTCCATTCTATGGCACCTTTAATGTAGTTGCTTCTATATTATGGAACTCACCTCAGAATATGCAGGCAACTCACAACATGCAAGTATTTGCATGACATTTTCACTGTGCATTAAGCAGCCCAAATTACAACCCAGGAGTTGACTCCTGCATTGTAGTGAAAGGACTTATAAGGACACAGTCATTTTTACTGGAAAAGAAGGTGCACCTGACAAACACTTGATTCCCAGTGATTCTGAAACAGTATCTTTATAATCAAGTTGGTCTTTGGATGTCATTACCAGAATCTGAACGCCACAATAAGAATATAGTGTATCACTTAGCAGGTCATGCAAGTCTATGTTCCAGTTATGCACCAATAGGTCAAGACTTTCATCTAATCAGAGTCCATTTCTCAACCACTGACACTTCACCTAACGGTCAAGTTATGCTGTCTTAGGCCCAGGTCAGTTCAGATAAACTTTAGTCTGAATCAGATAAAAGACAACACTGAATTTCCTCTCAGATATGAAACAGGGTAATAGTGAAGGTCATTGCCATTCATTGAATTACATGCAATATAAATCCAGGGCTATGGCTTATCAGTGTCTTTTGTAAGGCGCATTCCTCAAAGGTGCAAATGCCACCTTAGGTTCTCATGCTTGGTTCTGGATCTCCACAACTGTGAGGGCCAGTCAGACACCACCTGCAACAGGAAGGTGACACTGTGGTAGCTGCTAAAATAGCTGTGGGCTTCCTCCTGCAAGGATATATTTCACACCACTGTAAGAAATAGACATTCTTTTCAAATGAAAGTTTTCCTAAGTTTTTAAAATTCCATCAACATACACTTTTTGTCAGCATATCGGAGGCACCTAGTTTTTCAAAATGTTTTCTTTCTCAGTTTGTAATAACTTAACACATTAATTACAAAGCTGTTCAGATATTTCTTCGCAAAAAATAATACCAAATTGTTTTGCTACCCCTGTATTATGATATTGGCACTGAAACTTTTGAAGTATTTAAACCATATTTGTGCTCGTAACAGTAGTTTGGACAATAAAACCTGCAAATCGTGATTAACATAAAAGTGAGTTTTGCAAAATGTCCTCTTTGGTATTAGAAAACAAAAAGCTGTTTCATGGTCATTAAAAGAATTTTGTCCCCAAACGTTTGGCAGGCTGTGTATATGTGACTGGTGGAAACATGATGGTTTATGGCTAAATATTTGATTCATTTGTCTTATAATTAAAAGTAAAGTATGTTTTTTCTTTCTCCTGTAAAGTTATCATTTTGGAGACACAAGGTTTTGATCCGACAACAGCGACATGATGCATCCTTACCATCTTTTTCAGTATAAGCAATTATCCAAAAATTGGTTGACTGCTTCTTTTGGGTTGGTCACAGTGTAAATATGCAATGGCATTGGGGAGCCTATAGATTTACCAGTGTTATGTACAGGGCAACAGGTCATAGGCCACTCATTCTTTCCTCAAACGCTTTTATTCATGAATACGTAATCTTGCATTAAGCAAAAACTGTCTGGAAAAAAAACTAACCTAATGAGTTTGCACTAGAGGAGGTCATCCAGAAGAACAGAAGCAAGAGCTTCAGAGATGTGCTGTGGTACACAGTGGACACTCTCTCAGCCAGATATAATCTACAGTCCATGAGGACCGCCTGATTAATTCAGAAATAGTTACGTAACGCAACGCACAGACAAAAACACACACTCCGTGAGACTTCAGTCAGATGGGATTATTTAAAGCCGCCTGGTGTGTGAGTGTGTGAGTGAGTGCTTCAGAAATTCTCGTCCCCTGCTCTCCCTGACTGGACTAAAATCAATATTGCGGATATAAAATAAGTTCTTTCAGAATCAGTTACTGATATACCTCTTAAACCCAGCACACATATGCAGCTTTCAGTGATGCTGTTTTTGAGTCACCTTATGATGCGAGAGATTCTCAAGCTGTCTCCTCACTATCACAATTGCATTTAAAAGGCTCCAAGCTATGGGAGTCACTGAATGAATCCCTGATGGACCAACTCTTTCTCAGTCTGAGTGTAATATCATCAAATCCAATGCTCTTTGTAACTCCATCTCTTCCCCAGTTTCCAAGTGAACTGCTCCACCACATAGGGGCGCTAGAATCCAAAGGTCCATTACCCTGAAAAACCAGGCACAGATCTTCACTGACATTCCATTAGATACTGTACACAATCATTATGGCCCAGCACTGTTCTCTTGGCCTCCATTTAGACTCTTTCAATAGACTCTTTTCTTTGATCTGTCCACGGTTGGGGTAAGGAATGAGCTTCGGAATGGCGGACTGCCATCCATTTATCAAATAAACTGGGTCAGAGATTTTCAGTGGGCCACTCATGAAACAGGGAACGACAGCTTCCATTCCATGGGCTTAGCTCAGAGATTCCCAATCTTGGTCCTGGAGTACCCCTGCTCTGCACATTTCGGTGTTTTCCTTGCTCTGACAAACCTCGTCCGATTACTAACTAATAATCCAACTAATTAAAAAGGTCTTCCTGAGTTGAAGTGAGTGTGTTAGAGCAGAGAAAATCTCAAATTAATACCAACTGCTACCATTCTAATGTCTTTATACTGTTCCAGAATTGACCAGCCAAATGAACCAGAATTACTCTAGAACCAGGATTGGGAACCACTTCATGTGTCTAAACACACATAACAGGGCTCCTAAGCCCAAGAGCAGAGAACCTGGCTCCCCTCTGCCCATATCTACCTCAAACAAACAAGCCAGTGAGACAGCAAACACAACATGGCATCAGCAGTAGTGTGTTTACCTGGTCAATAACCAGAATCACATCAGAGGATGAAAGAGAAAATCATGTAAGCTCTTGAAATTCCCTGCATTGGGAAACTCTCAAAGTGCAGTGAACTAATTTCTATCTGTATGAAGAGACTGAAAGATGATTTAATGATGACACTAAAACAGGGCTCTGACGATATGGAATTTTGCCTGATATCGCAATTATCAGTATAGCGGGATATTAATTTTTTCACATAAACAAAGTGACATGTCGCTAATCTCTTGCTTAATTGCTCCCAGGAAGAAGAGAAGGTTGAATTGCATCAGAGGCATCATTCTAATTATAAGCCTGCAAGAGACCTCATCAAGACCAAAGCAAGGCCCTTTTTAAAGTGTTGCCAAGTAACACATAATATCATGTCCATAAACGTGCAGCTAGATCCATAATACATTTGGGGCATTTCTCAGAAGACTACAGGCCCCAGTGACTGCTACCTGGAGGCACTAAGATAGATCTTGGTGTTCCTGGTCAAAGGGCTTTGCCTGGACAGAGAGAAAGAGAGAGAGAGAGAGAGAGAGAGCGAGAAAGAGAGAGAGAGGCAGGGAGATAGGGCTGGTTAACGTTTAACCCGCCCAGCTTGTAAAGCAGCTCCAGGACAGTGAACCTTTGGAGTTTGATATGATGTGATTACAGAATCACCCCAGTGACACGTTGCCCAGTTTGCCAGAATGAAGGTTTGAGTCTTCCGGGAGGTGATCTCTGAAATTGCTCAGGTAAGCTCTCTTGTATTTTCCCTCACAGGTTGGGTGCCACTAACTGAGGCAGCTTGGGAAGATGTTCAACAAGCTGGCTCAGTTTCGTGGCTCTGCTTGTGTGTTATTTTTTCTTTTCCTTTTCCTCTTTACCAGTGATCTGAAACCAGTCTGCAAAACCAGTTCGATTCTGAAGTTATTGTCAAGGTAGGGTAAACGTAAGGCATTTGCATGTTAGCATGATTCAACTGAACTGACGGTAATGGATAGGGAATGAAAACTTTGCAGGCAAAATACAACTTCTTTCTTCCTGTCTCCACTTTATGAGGGCTGATGCTGCCGAGCACACAGTACGCTGCCTATTTGCCTAGTTTCAGCTGATAAAGGGCAATGGAGCTGCTCCTCATAGTGAATTGTTGCCTGGTGACTTTGGAAATGCGCGTAGTCATCATATGTGTGTAGCTGCCATATGTATTTAAAGACATAACGATTGGCAGCAGCTATTATTCGACTGCTGTAGCAAAAAACTATGATGAAATACAGTGATGATGGGATATGATAGAAGCATATGGCACACTACCCAACCACAGTGCTGTAAACATTAGAGTGTTATGCCATGCCATGAGGTTTGCATTTAACTTTTTCTCGAAATTCAATAATTGGAGGCAATAAACAAGCCACACGACTGAAAAATGTCAGTTTCTTTATCTTACAATGACTACCTACTTCAGCAAAGCCTTTTCAGGCAGTACAGGCCAACGCAGTGGCCTTCAGTTCTGTGTGTATTTAAGCTTTGGTCAACAAAGCCCCAAAAAGCAGGTACCGATCCGAGCGAGATAAGCCCCCGTCCAGTTATCTTGTTTATGCAAACGGTAACCAGGCTGGTGTGGAGAGCTAACTAATGGAGCTTTCTCCTACTGTATTAGTGGTCTCAGTAATGGGTGGCCTAATGCTCCGCTGCAAAACTGGCCTTCTCTATTATCTCAAATGTTTACTTACATTTCTTTCAGTCAACAGAATGTGATCATTGCAACAGTAAGGATTTTTTTTTAATGTCTCCTCTTCTGGGGCACTGAAAAACTGTCCGCATTTGCTGACTGGGAGAGATCCTGCGCTAATGGTTCGCTTTAATGTGAGTCATCAAAGTTAAAAACCTTTCATTTTCAACATGGGGCCTGGACAAAATAGCTGATTTTTTCCTAGTATTGCAGAAGCCGAAAGCAGCCAGCTGTCTTGTTGCTTGACAGACTGCAATGGTGATGTGGAATGGACATACAGATGCTGGACCTGCTGAAAGGTCAACTTTCTTGCGGCAACTTGGCTCCAGCAGTGTTAAGATCACCAAGGCAGGAGATTGTACTTCGACAGTTTCCCAGTGTAGGGCAGCACAGAGGAGCTTTTTAGACCGGTGCACCCATATTGGGACACACTTACAGCAGAAGACAATAGGCGTGAGATCATCACCTCAGTCGTGATTGAAGACCAGCGCTTAAGTGCCTTTGAAGACGAATCGCAGTCTCGTCGCCTTTGACCCCTATTCTGCAGGAGCGTGGCTTTGTTTTCATGTGTCCCCTTTGATCAAGTAGAGCTTGAAAGAGACAAAGACAGCCACTCCATTGATTATTTTGAAGGGCTTGGGGCTTCTGGTAGTCCATTTTCTTTGGGCTACCTGTGATTGAATCAGGCTTGTTACACAACAGCCTCATCATCGTCTGTGGTGTAGACAGATGAGGCTTGCTCTGATCTGCTGAGTGAGCACTGTTGTCAGCAATTTCAAAGATTTTGTAACTGATGGGGATGAATTCACTTCCTCTTATACGCTGAAAAATGTTGCTTTGAATTAACTTGAAAATGTACACATTGATTCCACATGAATGAATATAATCACAGTAATTGTGTTGACATCACTTATTCATGTAAAACCAATGTTCACATTTGAATCAAGTCAAGTCTAAGCAATATTTTTAAGAGGATTAAGAGGACAAATATGGAGAACTATTCCGCAAATTCAAGCAAATGTAGTCGCCTACTGCTCTGGATCACCACAGTTAATAATTACACAGTGGTCCTTGACCTAGAGCTGAGAGAAATGTCTCTCTCTGCACTCATATTGTTAACTTTAGCCACCAGAGAGAGAGAAGCAATTTGTGTGAAGAGTTTTCTTTATGAATCTCAAACAGGGAGAGGGTTAGCAACATAAATGAAAGTGGATTTTCTGCCCAGCAATGACTGAATGTGAATTTTGTCTGGTAAAACATAAAGTTAAACACGCAGTTATACGAATGTCACATGATGGTTCACCCTGGGGTTTGAAGTTTGTAAGGTAATCGATTTGATGTGTGCTTAAAATGTGACCCAAATGGACAATTCTCTGTGATGTTCTGTTTGCAACCTGACAAGGCGACATAAAAAGCCGTCATGGCTGTTCAGCATGAATCAGCAAGCCTTGTCTTGTCATTCACGTTGTGTTTGAACTTTGATTTAATTTCAGTGAGCACCCCTAATTCTGCTGATTTATTGCTGATAATCACTCACAATGGAAACCAATCAAAAATGTGGGGATGGACTGACTGGCACGCAGAAAGAGGCTGCTCTGCGCGCTCTCATCCAGCGCACAGGATATCAATTACACCAGGTAGGAGCCGCCACCAACAACAGACTGTATTACCAGCATGCCCAGGTTTAGGCAAAAGTTCAAAGAGGGAGTTTGGGACAGAAATAGAGGCAATTCAAGAAAGAATATCTCTAGATAATTGACCACATATATGAACATTAAGATCTTTGTAACACTTTGCTAAAGCCGGCATTAATAAGGCTACATAAGCCTTTCATGACAACTGACGTAAACCTATGTAAAATGTATATGTAAGGCTGATTTCAAAGTGTTTGTTGTTATACACTTTAAGGCTACACTTTCAGAATATCAAGATTGCCTTTATACCCCAAAATGAGCCTTTTTACATGTTTATGTAGGTTTATGTCAGTTGTCATGAATGTCTTATGAAGGTGTCATGTAGCTTTACAAATGTCCAAAAAGTGGCTCTTCCTTTGCATCACTCCAGTGAACCCTTTTTGGCACCTTTATTTCAAGAGTGCAATGTCAGGATGTTGTACTACAGTACCACCCTGTGGTGAGAGATGAACATTACTCTCTATGTCTGTCCCAGCCCAGCGCATTTAAAAGCATGCGGCACAGCAGCGTTCAGCTCCGGTATCAGGGCCGTCCTGCACTGCACAGACTGCTAGCGTTGCATGTTCAAAGGAATTTGCATAAGCTATTCTTATGAAACATTAGATTAGGGCTAGAGGTGGATTTAGCAGTCGGTCATAGCTTGTCTTTTTACTTCTTATGCATAAAATCCAACGGCTGTCATGAATTATTATTTCTCTCAGTGCTTCTGTTGATCACTTGGGCATGGATTAGTATTTTCAATGCAGCAACTAAGTGCAGTGCAGGCCCAGTACTGAATGCACTGAGCTAAAGCATCCTCTATCACTCCATCCTTGCAATGAAAAAAAATCACTTAGTGTGAGTAGTTCATCCGCCATTTACGCTTACTGGCCACTTTATTAGAAACACATACTTTTCTGGTATACGTTTAGAGACTGTTGAAGGACAGTTTGTGTTAGCTATCTTCTATCCTTTAGTCAGTGACCAGTTTCTGACCACAGAAGCTGCTCTTGGCTGGATGTTTTTGGGTGATGGACCACTGCCAGCTAAGCAGGGATACTGATGTGTGTGAAAACCAACACCACTGAGCCTGATACACTCATACTATGTATGCTACCATGCCACCATGTCACTGTCATTGCTGTGCTGAGAATGGTCTACCAGCCAAATAATACCTGCACAAAAGCAGCTTTGTGGTCAAGAACTGATTCAGTGAAGCATCGGGTAAAAAGTGGTTGTACATGACAACAAATGGTCTAGTCTGTAATTGTAAACTTATATAACTAGATGGACTTAATGAAGTGGCGAGTGAGGGTATAACACTGTGGTCATTAACTGATCTTAACCTGCTGATTCTCAGAAGTTTGTCATACCCTTTGTCTTGTTCTTCAGGAGAATGGCCAGAGGAGATATGGGGGTCCGCCTCCAGGTTGGGAAGGGCCACCTCCAGAGAGAGGCAGTGAAATTTTTGTGGGCAAGCTGCCTCGAGACCTCTTTGAGGATGAGCTGGTGCCTCTCTGTGAAAAAGTAAGAACAAATTTGAAAACAAGCACTGTAGACCCTGCAATAGATTTCTTAACATGAACTGTAAGTGCTGAAAAAGCTGTAATTTTATGTTAATTATTCCTTATTGAAACAGAAGAATTCTGTTTATTGAAAGTGCAGATCCTAACCTTTAAGTAAGTACCACATTCGTGTTTATGAGTAGAAGGGAAGACATTTTATTATGATTTGAATTTTATGAAAAGTTATTGCTGTGTTGCAGTGTTGTTTCGTAGAAAGGAAGAAAAAACATCCTTTACATTTTTCCCACAGTTTTTGTCATCATTTACATTGAAGCAAACTGAAAAAGTCAGATGTACAGACGCAGAATGTCTGTTGTCAGAATTTAAAGAGTTATATATGTTAATGTAGTAACTATGTAATGAATTATGTAGTTATGTAATTATATTTACATAATACAATTGTTGTAAAGCAAAAATAATTCTAGACTACTATGAGTTAAATAAACAAAAGTTTCTCATGTAAAAAGAGGAAAGATCTTTTGGTGTCTTCTAATTTTTTTTTAAGTCTTTTTTTTGGTCTCTCCACAGTTTGGCAAAATATATGAAGTACGGATGATGATGGATTTCAATGGCAACAATCGAGGTTATGCTTTTGTCACCTTCAGCACAAAACAAGAAGCCAAGAATGCCATGAAGCAACTCAATAATTATGAAATCAGGTAATATGTTAGTCTACCCTTATAAGTCCTATCACTAGCCACTTTATGAGCTCCATCTACATTATCAGCCCTATATACAGGTGTACAAATACAGACTGTAGCCCATCTGTAGCCCATCATACACAATTAGTGGTATTGATGTGTGTGGCACTGGTATGGGTGTATCAAGCACAGTGTTGCTAGGGTTGTTCTACTAGGCTGGGAGTGGTCCACCACCCAAAAACCACCAGCCAAGAGCAGCTGTGTGGTCTGAAACTACAGGCTATTTTGGACTAAAGGATGGCGAACAACAATTGTGCATGGCAACACTTGAACTCTGCTATATAACAATGACATAACCATGTCATAAACATGTAATGGCAGATTTCTTATGCTGTCATTAGTTGACATTTTATGTCCAGTAATATAACAATGTCATGTTACCATTACCGGTAATATATTCTTTTATGACAGTTAACTAGAGTACACTTTGCAAAAATTAGCATTTGATATAAGCTAGCATGACATCAAATGGCATGTCACGGCATATGTTTATAGCATGGTTATGTGAAGTGTTAGCTTGTACATCAGCACATGGATTACAGTCTCTAACTGTACATCAGCATGGTGGGCTACAAAATAGAGGTTTCTAACAAAGTGGCCCGTGAGTGTGTATGACTAAAGCACTCTGCAACTGAGATGACACCTCTGTGATCTTTCTTTAGAAATGGCCGTCTCTTGGGTGTGTGTGCAAGTGTGGACAACTGTCGCCTCTTCGTGGGGGGCATCCCCAAAACCAAGAAGAAGGAGGAAATCTTGGCTGAGATGAAAAAAGTGACGGACGGAGTGGTGGAAGTGATAGTTTACCCCAGTGCTGCAGACAAGAGCAAAAACAGAGGCTTTGCCTTCGTGGAGTACGAGAGCCACCGTGCCGCTGCCATGGCCAGGCGGAAGCTACTGCCAGGTAAAAACTGACTTAGACAAAGAAAGCAAAGCTTCTATCAGTTGAGCGCTGACATTAACAAAAGACCGAAGATGCAGATGTATATGCAGATATATGGTAATGCTTGAATGTACTGTAGTATTTTGTCCTTCTTAGTGCTGGCATGACAAATGATTGTGATTCTGCAGGCCGAATCCAGCTTTGGGGTCATGCCATCGCTGTGGACTGGGCAGAGCCAGAAGTGGAAGTGGATGAGGACACCATGGCCACTGTGAAAATCCTCTATGTGAGAAATCTAATGCTTGCCACAACAGAGGAGACCATAGAGAAGGAGTTTAATGCCATTAAACCTGGTAAGTCAAATAATAACTGGCACAGAACAAACACATAACAGTTACGTTCAACAATATCATAAAGTGCTACTGGAAGAGTATACAACATATAAAGATTAAATAACATTTAAAGGTTCAGTCAGTCTGCATGAATGAGTTCAGGTTTAAGTAATGTGAAAAATAAACAGGCAGTTTATTTACAGTATAAATTGATACTGTTTGGATGTCACCAATGAGCCAGGATTTTCTAAATTAAATTTCTACAATAAAATTTCAAGCGGTCTGTTCTAATTGAAACGACATGTTCGCAGAATTATCTAATAGTCATTTGATTTGTTGGCCTGTGTCCAATAGTAATTGAGTATGCTGCAAAGCAATACATCCTCAGTTCACAGGTCAAGTTAACTTTTTAGAAACTAATGAGACTTAAATGACCCATATCGATGAAAACTGAATTTTCCTTACTTTTTTTTGTAAAATACTCAATTTATCCACTAAGTAGACATTTAAAATTGTCATTTAAAATGTTTAAAATATGCACTACGTTCACATGTGGAAATTTACCTGCAAAAACAGTCAGTTTTGAATTCATTGTGGTTGTGATATCACAACCATGAACACATTTTCGTTCTCATTCCTCCAGTTTGGCCTATGGCAGTTTAGTCTGTTTCATGTTGAAGTGATGAGTGTTGTTGCTGTCTGTAACATAGTTATTGGAGTGAAATATGTGGAGAAAATGGTTAGCATAGTGCTGTTCCTGACTTTTGGGAAGTAAATGTTTGATTGCAACCTTCTAAAAGATCCAGAAGTCTGAAAGAATTAAAAGAATTAAATTCATCCCTGAGGATTGGACTGCTTTTGAATGTTGAATGTGGGTCCATCTATGTTTGTACACACACACACACACACACACACACATACACATTTTCTAAGCTGCTCATCCTCCTGGGTCGCAGGGGTGATGAAGCTTATCCCAGCCCTCATTGAGCGGAAGGCAGGAAACACCCTGGACAGGTCTCCAGTCCATCACAGGGCATTTGAACATGGAAACTTACTTAAAGACATTATGGAGGCTTAGCGGCAGAATTAAAAATGTATGTGATCTCACAGGTGCAGTGGAGAGAGTGAAGAAGATCAGGGACTACGCCTTCGTTCACTTCTCTCAGAGAGAGGATGCCATTACAGCGATGAAGGCCCTGAATGGAAAGGTACACATATACACTGTTTCCTTAGTTTAAATCTGTTACAATACCGTATATGTATTCAATAATATACACCCAGTTTGGTTACATTTCCAAAATGAGTCTGAAATTAAGTCATTACTCAGATTCAAGTACAAGTTTAAATTAAGACATTATTGGAAGCTGTAAAAATAGAAAATATTAAATGTATACAAAGTGATAAACAGAGCTGTAGATGACTCTGTAATAACGGGCAAGGCTGAATAGCATTAAGAATAAAGTTATAATAAAATTAGAGATAGATTGAGCCATTATCTTGATAAAATGCTGAATCTTATATCAAAAGGGAAAAAATAATGAATCCAGTAATAACTTGAAAATACTTTGTAGTGTCTAGTTTATATTTCAGTCTACATTATACAAGAGTGTAGGGTATTATTTACCCTACATAAAAAAATAAAAACAATTATTTATGTGACAAGTGATTCCAAACTTCTGAATAGAAGTGTACATAGTAAACTAATGATCAATAAACACTTTGCGTCTTCAGGTTGTTGATGGCTCTCCGATAGAGGTGACGCTAGCCAAGCCTGTAGATAAGGACAGTTATGTCCGTTACACTCGTGGCACAGGAGGACGTGGTACTGCCCTGCTGCAGGGTGACTATACCTACACTCTGGGCCAGATGTATGACCCCTCGGCTGCCTACCTGGGTGCCCCTGTGTTTTACGCCCCACACGCGTATGCAGCTCTCCCGAGCCAGTTCCGCTTCCCCACAGCCAAAGGTCATGTAGGGGCACGGGGGCTGGTGCGCTCGCCTTCTGTCAGAGGTGAGTGTTGTACCTAAATCACAGGCTAATCAATCTTTTCTGAACACAAGTTAATCTCAAATCAATAGGCAACAAAATTTGCTTCTTTAACTCCTTAAATGGCCAGGACTTACCAGTTTTACTACACACTTCCATAACCTAAGAATAGCTCAGCCAGTTTGCATTGAAGTGCCTGTAGTAACTGTATAATAAGCCTTAGTATGTGATAAGCCTGGGATTTTAAGGGGTTAATTGTGCACTGGAGTTTTAAGGATAATGTAGCTAACAAGTAATAGGAACTTGGACCCCACACTTAGCATTTTAGAAACTACATGTCTACATTATCATAGGCCTGTAGTCTAGAAGTAGAAGATGTTAGCCAGCAACTGAAAGGCTACGGGTTCAAATCCCCAGACTGGCTGGGTGGTTGTACATCCGTCTATGCCAGGTGGTGCTGCTCCCAGACTGGACACTGTTAGGCAGCAAAATGACACATTTCTGTTGTAGGATTCATGAATTACATCATAGCACTTGCCTCAAACCACACTGAGTTGTTAAGTGGTCTCAAATAGCTTGATTCTGTAGTTTCTGACATGCTGTTAAAAAACTGGCAATTCTGTTTTAGGTGACTTATAGTAATAAATAGAGAATCAATGCTGTTTGAGGCAAGTAACTTATGTGATGATTAAGGCATGCAATTTTAATGAATCTAGTTGTTGGGTTAAAAGCTACTATTACTCAATAGCTACATTAGCCTCAGAGCTCCAGTACAAAATTAAAGAAGCCAAAAATTGGGGACATTTGATTTCTGTCATGAATACATTGCCTTTTTGAACAATGCTAGTTTTGTGTTTTTTAATCAACTTTTAAACAGACAACAAATATTGGTGGGTATGTCCTGCTCACTTAGCCTGTCGAAAAGGCTATAACATTTTGCATAACACTAAAATATGCTAAATGTCTTTATGATAGCTACTTATCAAGACTGTAAGTAAGACTGTATCTATTTCTGGCATTTGGTGCAGCATTTTGAATATGTTCTCCATGCCTGCATAATACAGCCATGTAATGTCGATCAAATCTCATTGGAAATTGGGGTACCATTGTTTTGAAATCCATAAATGTAATGACACAAGAAATCAGAGCTACTTTAACAGAAAATCAAAAGGGAGCCTGTACTGTGCTGGCTTGGAAAGATTTTCTCTGAATCTTGATTGAAACCCAGGTGATTTCTGGTGATTTGATTTGATTTAATGCCTTCTTGCATTCCTAGAAATTTACATGAATGTGCCTGTAGGGGCGGCGGGCGTGCGTGGTTTGGGCGGCAGAGGGTACCTCGCCTATGCAGGCGTGGGCCGTGGCTGTCCAACCTACCAGCTAAAGACAGACAAACGCCCTGAGGACAAGCTCTACGATTTGCTCCCTGGCATGGAGCTCACACCTATGAACCCTGTGACCCTAAAGCCCCAGGGAATCAAGCACGCTCCACAGGTACTCTTATGAACACACAGGGCCTGTTTCTGTTTTCAGTACATTCCTGACACACACACTTCAACAATTTTTCCTACTGTTCACATGATCAGCGTAAAGGAGCAATGCTTTGCGTTTTGCAGATCTTGGAGGATATCTGTCAGAAGAATAATTGGGGACAACCAGTGTACCAGCTTCACTCTGCCATCGGACCAGATCAGAGGCAGCTGTTCCTTTACAAAATCACTATCCCTGCTCTGGCCACCCAGTACCCCAACATGTGAGCTCACCTTTATTTATGTAGCACCTTTTGTACAAATGTATCACAGGACAGATTGCAAAATATAAAACTGTAAATAAATAAAACCACATTAATATATATGTTGTGTAGTCGTATTTAAAAGTTTGAATACCCCCGGTCAAGTGAAAATAAGTTCACGTCCTCTACAGAGCATAAATATAGTATTTTCTTCACATATTATTGCACAATTTGTATTACCTTTTTTAGAGTTTAACACACTGAAAAAAATCAATCAACTTTTGCAGAAGTAATAATTTTTGTTTTTTTTCAATATGTTGTCATGTTTCTTTTTCAATATGTATTAATTACTGAGGGAAAAAATGAAAAGTTAAGAATGTCTTTCCTTCTCCTAGAAAGTTACCATTTTGGAGATGCGTGTATTTTATATATTTATATTTTGTATATTATATATTTTAGACACTGTCTAAAATATATAATGATACTCTCATTGGCCACCTTTTAATTATAACAAATAAAAAATTATAAGACATTTAAATATTATAATGAAGTGCCACATCTACAGATAGATCTGCCTTTTATCTACATTCCTTGCTCAGTGTCCTTTTTATCAAGTCTCCTTACCATATATGCACTTCTGGTTCTACTGCTGCTGACTATAGTCCATGTATATCTCTGTATACTTTGTTAGTCCCCCCTTTACCCTGTTCGTTAATGGTCAGGACCCCCACAGGACCACCACAGAGCACTTATTATTTTGCTGATAGATCATTCTCAGCACTGCAGTGACACTGATGTGGTGGAAGGTTTGTGTGTGTGCGTGTGCTGCACAGAGTGGATCATACACAGTAGTGTTGTAGAGTTTTTAAACAACTCAGCGTCACCACTTGACTGAAAAAGAGTACATCAACCAAAAATATCCAATCAGCAGTGTGTAGTGGCCAGAAACAGATGAGCTATCATCTTAAACTACAGCTACAAGGTGGACCAAAGAGTTATATATGTCTAATAGAGTGAACAGTAAAATGTATATCACAGTCCTAATGTTGCTTATTTGCACCTCCATAGACACCCATTCACCCCAGCTAAGCTGTGTGCAGCAGTGGATGAAGCTAAAATCCATGCTGCAGAGCATGCACTGCAGACTCTGGGCCTGCAGACAGAGGGCACTGATGCATCTGCTGCTGCCGCCGCCGCTGCTGCTGCTGCTGCCACTGCTGCTGCTGCAGCATTTCCAGGTATGTAAGGTCTGTAAGACACTTATTATGAATTATTATGACTGCTTATGTTCTCAGCTTGAAAAAGTTATCCAGTGCAGAGTCGTTCTGCCTGAACTGATAAGAAGATGGGAAAGAGCTGCATAACCTAATAACATAACTTAAAAAGAGGCCGGAAAAAAATTAAGGAATAAATATACCATACTGCTGAGATACTCAGGTTGTAGACATAATGTAGAATTGGCAACATTAGAGGCATCAGGAAAATGTCTGTTTGCTTGACCATGCAGCAGGCATTTGTGGCTATATGTGTAGCAGCTTTAAAATATGCAGTTCCCTGCAGGAAACATCATGAATAGCTTGGCTGAGGATATAAATATAGTACTGTGCAAAAGTTTTAAACACCTGAGAAAATTCTATTTAAAAAGCTATTCAATTGGGCAGAAAAGTTGGGATGCTGTGTAAAATGTAGATAAATGTAAATAAAAACAGAATGCAATGATTTGCAAATCTCGCAGACCCATTTTACCCACAATAGAACTCAGAACACATATCAGATGTTGAAAGTGAGACATTTTATCATTTCATGAAAAAATATTAACTCATTTAGAACTTAATGGCAGATCTCAAAAAAATGGGGACGGGCAACAAAAGGCTGGAAAAATAAGTGGTACTATTAAAAAACAGCTGGAGGAGCAATTTGCAACTAACTCATGACTGGGTATAAAAAAAGCATTTTAGAGAGGCGGAGTCTCTCAGAAGCAAAGATGGACAGAGGTTCCCCATCTTTGAAAAACTGCATTTAAAAATTGTGGAACAATTTCAGAAAAATGTTCCTCAATGTAAAATTGATTATAAGATTTTGGATATCCCACCATCTACAGTACATTATATCATCAAAAGATTCAGAGTACTGGAGAAATCCCTCTATGAAAGGGACAAGGTCGACGGTCAGTGTTGGATGCTTGTGAGCTTTGGGCCCTCAGACAGCACTGCATTAAAAACAGGCATGATTCTATACTGGAAATCACTGCATGGGCTCAGCAACACTTCCAGAAATCATTGTCTGTGAACACACTTTGCTGTGCAATCCACAAAAGCAAGTTAGAGCTGTATCATGCAAAGAAGAAGCCACGATCCAGAGACGCTGCCGTCTTCTCTGGGCCAATGCTCATTAAAAATGGACTGAGGCAAAATGGAAAACTGTTCTGTGGTCAGATGCATTAAAATTGGAAATTCTTTTTGCAAACCACGGATGCCGTGTCCTGCAGACTCAAGAGGAGAGGGACCATCCAGCTTGTTATCAGCGCACAGTTCAAAAGCCTGCACCTCTGATGGTATGGGGTTGCATTAATGCCTATGGCATGGGCAGCTTACAGTCTGCAAAGGCACTATCAATGCTGAACTGTATATAGAGGTTTTAGAACAACATATGCTCCCATCCAGATAATGTCTCTTTCTGGGAAGGCCTTGCATATTTCAGCAAGACAATGCTAAGAGGGGATGCTACACAATAATAGACATGGCCCTGTCCCAACTTTTTTGAAATGCGTTGCTGCCATCAAGTTCTAAATGAGTTAATACTTTTCATGAAATGGTAAAATGTTTCACTTTCAACATCTGATATGTGTTCTATGTTCTATTGTGTATAAAATATGGGTCTATGAGATTTGCAAATCATTGCTTACACAGCATCCCAAATACGTAAAACAGGTACAAATAAGTTTTGGCATTGAGCTGTTGTTTTTACCTGCATTTTTAGATACGTAAGTCTTCTCAACACAAAACAATAATTATTTAACATTAGACAATAATTATTTTATAAACTCAGGAGGCAGTTAATAGTTTAACCACTGTTTAAGATGCCAGTACCAGCATTTAACGTTCTCCCTCTAATGTCTCTCCCATGTTGCTCCAGGTTATGCAATAGCCAACACTGCTGCCACAGTTGCTGCTTCCCAGCTCAAACAGACTGTGTCTCTGGGTCAGGACCTGGCGGCGTACACCACCTATGAGGGTTATCCAGCGTTCGCCGTGGCAACCCGTGGAGATGGCTACGGAGTGTTTTAAAGCCAGCAACAAAATCTCAGTCAGCCACAGTCAAACCTGCACGTGCCCATTTCTGCCCCATGCGGAAGTGTCTCATGACACCTCAGCCTGAAGACACATTGCTTTAGAGGAGCAGAGACCATTGCTAATATTACCGTCCAGCAGATTGCCAGCATGATTTAGCTCACTTTCCAATATCATAGTACATGGTTTTAACTTATCTCAGGAATGGACAATCTGAGGGCTGTTAACAGCAAAGTTTCAAACACATCTGTTATAAAAAAGTACACTCAATATCCACTTTAGAAAAACACCTACATTTACTTCCACTCACTGGCCACACTGTGAGGTCCACTTACCTTTTAGCCAGCGAGTGTAAGTCCTCCATGTCCATTACATAATGATGAAGACTCTACGGCAACTGAAACAAGGTTGAAAAAACTGCCAATATATTTTTAAATGATTGGATATGATTACCTTGGTAGTGAAGAAGATGTAAGATTCATTTCTCTTGCCAGAGATACACCCTACTCAGTTTACTTCTGTTTGGACAACCTCGCGTTTTATGTTTTTATTAACGCTGCCTTTAAATGAACTTTTAGGGATGTCCTACACAGAAACCAGACTCTATCCTATAGACCATGAATACTCTGTATCGCCATAGATAGCTTTCATACTTCTTTGATATTTAAAGTTCGTGCTAGTTTTGTTTCAGTATTTACTTTAACAAAGACAATATCAGGAATGTTTCATGTAAGGAAAATGTGTGGACATAAGCTGTCACATTTACTGTTCATCGTGTTTTTTTTCCTTTTCTTTTTTAACAAACGTGACACTTTTTAGACATTTAGTTTATAAGTCTTTTCCTTTTATTACTGCATTTATAAATGATAGTTCCAGGCTTGCTACCTACTACAAGCTTTAAACATCCCACCTCATCCTTTGATGAACGATGACTGTGAGACGTTTCTCATAACACGGTTTTGTCAGACATGGAGATGCCTAAGCAGTGACAGTATTAAAGTGTGTGTAGCACTTAGAACTTATTTTTGTACCAGAATTCCAACGTTATTTGTATGACGTTGTTTTAAGATGTTGCAAATCATCTGTCTCAGTGATTGGCATAAAACCTGAGGGAAAATCATAAGAGGGTGATATTTCAATTCCAAACATCATTGTGCTGTGAAATGAGAGGGAGTGATGGGATAATTTGAATCTGTCATCTAGCATCAATAAATTAAGTTCAATTCTGAAGCTGTTTCTCTTTTATTGTTTTTTATTATGCTGATGAAAAGAATGAACAAATCACCAATTACAGCCATATAAAGTCATAAAACTTACAACCTCTATAAAAAAGAGAAACAGTCTTTGCTGATGGAACATTTAAAAATTCATTTACATACATAAACTGTGATCACAGCATTCATTATACATGCCAAGGATGAAACGATATGAAAATACGGTATAATTATCTAATATCGCTGGGTTTTTTTAACGCATTATATCATTAAATCTCTGCTTTTCACAACTGAGCCTTCAACAAGAAGAAACCATTAGCTTTCTAGCAAACTATTTGTAGCTACTGTGTCCTTTTACTTTTTTGTCATTTTAGAATAGCAAGCACAATACCTTTTCATTAAACCTGCTCATGGGTTCCATTGAGAATGCCTGTTAGCTAATTTAGCTAATGTAAGCTAATCTTCCAGTAAGCTAATGGGTTAGCTTAGGTAGCCAGTAATAAACTCAAGCATGTTTCAGTAATTTTGTTATTAAAAGCTTTAAGTATTAATCTTTAGGTAGCACTTTATTTCACCGCATGATGATCAAATTTCAAGTTTATTATACTTAGTGTAAAAATCTGGATGAATGAAGCAAAAACAGCACAGGATTAAGGAAAAAATGGAAGTAATACAACCTAACCAGTGAAACGAGACTTTCGATACAAAGACTATCTACACAATACACGCGAATATAACGAACAGTCAAGCTTCTAAATCTAAAAGGCAGCCAGCACAAAGTTCAGAACAGATTTTAACGAGCGAGCCTACACAGAACTACAGCTCCCATCTGCAGCGATGGCTTCACACGCAGCGACGGCACGCACGAAAACCGGAAGATGTGGACTGGAATACTGGATTGAACTGTATCGGCCTGTGCTCAGACGTACTCAGTAATTCATCAGATCCTGTGCAATCCAGGACTCCAGTCCACTTCTTCCGGGTTTCCCCATGTCTCGTCGCTGCGCGCGGGACTGTTCGAGATGTCCTCAAGGGTACCATAGACCACAAACTATTAAGTGGACTTGTTTTTCTACATTTGTTCCTCCTTGCCGCTCCAGATCTCTCAGTGGTTCAGTGTTTACATGCAAAGATTTTTGCTGATCCGATTGAATGCATTCCGATTATATGCAAGACTGAGGTGTTTATATGCACACTCTACTCAACAGTCCGATGGAAAATCTGTTTACGTGCACACCAGAGCCAGTTTATGAGGAGCCTGGCCACTTCTTAGTTCCCCCGCTACATCAAAAACGTGACTGCAAAACAGCAGAGGGCGCCCGCGAGCGAGTCCTCGATGAATAGGAGTGAATGGAGCTAAACGGCTAAAAACGAAAAGTTAAAGTAGTTTCTAACAATTTCCCCAGAACTTTCCTTTAGGTTTAGGAAGTAGAAGGATGTATTTCACTAAAAAGCAAAGAAAACGTACTTGTATGTTGTGTTTTTTCTACAGCAAAAGGGTTTTGGGTTTACAACGCTAGCATTACTGCATTAGTGCTGACTGGTTGGCGAGCGGAGTAGCTCATAGACCACTGTAGTCGTGTTGTCATTTTGTAGTCGGGGCCATGCTGTTATGCCCATATTAGGAACTCCGGGTCTAAGCTCCATTTCTCTATGGGCAGAATGAATAGGGTTTTCGAAAAATCCCATCTATCGCATCCAGTGGTAAATAAAAATGTTCAGAACCCGATACGTTTTGTCCTGTGAACATTCTTCTCTCGAATAACGCTGGACCCTCCGAGTTACGAGGTCGTTAAAGAGAGAAATATGAATATTGCTACATGTGAGCTAAAGCTACTGCGCACTGAATTCACGTCATTAGACTGACAGCCTCCTTAACCCTGTAACCCTAAGCACATTATCACCCCCTGATAAACTGATTTAGGCTCTCAGAATATCCTAATTTTTATTTTAATGCTGGTAACATTTTTTTCTGAGGATATTTTCTCAGGAAATTTGCCAGCTTTTTCTTCGACTTTTCCCGTTCCACCTTAAATAGCGCAGCAGTCACGTTCTGAAATGCTGCGCCATTTAAGGTGGAACGGGAAAAGTCGAATAAGTAGCTGGCGAAAAAGAAGCTGACTTCAGCTTCATGGAGGGTTGAAAGGCATGATATGAGGAGGTTTCTCTCTATTTCCGCTTAACATAGTAACATTAACTTATTTTTGCTGTTTCACGGAGCCGACAGGTCAGTATTTTGTCTCGTTTGCTAATGTTTGTGATAGCTAGTCTCAGCTGCTGCACCATTTAAGGTGGAACGGGATCATTCAGACAAGAAGCTGCGAAAAAAAAGCTAAATTCAGCCTCGTAGTTTTAACACGGGTAGTATTTTTGATAAGGAGTCAAAATGTCATAGCTAGAGGTTTTATTTACGGGTATACCTGTAATTATGCGCTACTGTAGAAGATTTCGTTAAGGTGGCACAGCTCGTCAGAGCACAGCCACAGCCTGCCTTAGTTTTTTGTAGCTTTGTGACATCAAATTGATGCGCAGTAGTTTTAGCTCACATGTAGCAATATCAATATTATAGCTCTTTAATGACCTCGTAATTCAGAGGATCCAGTGGTATTCGGGAGAAAAATGTTCACAGGACAAAACATATCTGAACATTTTATTTAACACAGGGTGCATTTTTCGAAAACCTATTCATTCTGGCCATAGAGAAATGGGGCTTAGACCCGGAGTTCCTAATATGGGCATAACGAGGACTACAGAATGACGCACGACTACAGTGGTCTATTGGCTGTTCGTGCTCACTGACGTCATGGACATAATTGAGACACTGTTTTAAACTCCTTTAACTCGAGGGCAAAAGTGCTTAAAAATATAACAGTGGTGTTAAAAATGTTTTGCTGTTCCATGTAAGTATTTACAGGCCCCTGTACTCGAGCTGTACTCGAAGCCCCTTCGAGCTTCGAGTACAGCTCGGCTTGACCCGCCATCCTTCAAAGCGCGCGGAAGGCAAACATCTAGACTGTTCTCTGTGCTGGCACCCAGGTGGTGGAACGAACTCCCACTGGCTGTCCGTACAGCAGAGTCTCTCGCTGTCTTCAAACGCAGATTGAAGACACACCTGTTTATTCAGCACCTAAATGAGCACTAAATTAAGTATTGATTGATTGATTGATTGATTGAGCACTGAATTAAGTATTGATTGTAATGTATTGTACAGCACTTATGTATTGTATTGTATTGCACTGCTCTGTGTTTAACTCTGTTCCTTTTTCTCTAGGTGTCAATGACCTTCTGATTCTAGCAGTATCTAAGTTTAGGACTGTCTTTCTCTCTAACCTATTGGTAGCTAGCAAAGATTCTTTCTCTGGATAGACAAAGCACTTTTTGTAAGTCGCTCTGGATAAGAGCGTCTGCTAAATGATGTAAATGTAAATGTATTTATAAACTATGATTTTACTGAAATGCTCCATCTTAACCCATTCATTTTGGTCTTGTTCGGGAGCGCCCTCTAGCATTTGAGAAACCGGGAAGACATTACAGAACGGTAATTCTCCTGTCTACAAGTTCTCTGTGCACACTACAAGTAATCCTATCCAAAATACACTAGAGTACCACTTAGTGTAGACGTTACCATGACAACGAGCATCATGTGAGTCCATTCAGCGTGAGACGAGCAGCAGTATATCGCAGAGTTTCCAGCTGGAATGGCTGTGTTTTGCAAACTCAGGAAAACATACTTTACCTGTGCTTATTAAAGAAAATATTGTAAAAATTTCTGGTTTGAGATTTGATCATTACTGTTGAAGTAGGCATTCTGAAGACTGTTGTACAGCTTTCTCAGTGAAGTCTCAGTTTTAGAATCATCATTCTGGACCCAAATTACATACTATATATATATGTGTGTATGCGTGTCTGTGGACATGTCTGTGTAGCCTGTGTTAGACCTACATTTCTGGCCTGAAAATTGGTCACAGTTTAGCTGGTTTCAGTACTCTTTCATGATGGCAAAGGCTTGCAGTAGCTAAGTTCAAAAGGCACCGATTATTCAGAGGGAACAGAGTTTAATGTTAAAATGAATAGGCAGAATGTCAAAGAGTGTTAGAAGGAACAGACAGTTAAAGGGGAAGGCACATTAGTGGGAATAGAGTGTTTTCGTAACTTGGAATACATCTGAAGCTCCCTCATATGCGGTGATTACAGGGGTAATAATCACGCGCTGTTTATAGTGGCCGAAGTGTCGGATCCTGTAAGTGCCGGACTCTGCTGAGAGAGGGATGTGCCACTCCACTGTGGCGTTGCTCTGCCCACCAGACCCTTTAATCCAGTGAAATCTGCACACACAAACAAACCAACAAACATGCACAGTGCTGAGTGCTTGGTCATGGTTGAACTGCCATCACTCTAGACCTTTAAACTCGTCACTAAAATAACACAAAAAGTCAGGGACTCAATATGAAAAATTGTACTGTAACAATGTAACAATGTCCACATGTTGTAATAGTGAGTGAAATAAATAAGGCATTATAGTTAAACTCTAACATAAGCTCAATATATTAACCAAAGGTCTATATCAAGATGCATGGTTCACACTCATAGTGTAAATCTAATGCTAAGTTCAAGTGGTGTTGGAAACTGTGGAATACCAGTTTTCTGACTACCAGCCGACAAAGTCATATTTACAACTGGAAAAGAATTCTTTACTAAATGTAATGTATAAAGTGACCTTTCACTTTCCCCCTGGTGGAAAATGCATTAAACTTGCCAATGAATGTGAAATGAATGTGTACCTGATGCATTTCAGCTCTCAGTCCAACATAATTAAAAAAGCACAAACATTGTGTTTTTTAATACAACAACAGTAAGAACAGTAAGTTGGATGGCCTCCACATTTGCTTATTCCGTGTTGTGGATGTGTCTTCAATCAAGGGCTCAAATGGAGTTGTATTTAGTAGTTAAGCAGCCATCTGGTGTGCAGAACTTTTCATTGAGCACCCAAATGCAGCATGAGTCACACTGTCTGTAATGGGTGGTTATGCCAGCTAGATTAATTATAACTAATCTTCTTATTTATTTTTTTTGAAGATCACTTAAAGTAATTCCTCTACAGATCCAGAATTTCAACTCATGTGCTCAAGTTCACTGACAGAAAAGTAAATGTTTAATTTTGCATTTTTTTTTTTATGTGACAATGCCACCGTGCTACTATTGAGGCCAGTAAGGTAGTCGTCTTAGTGTACGTAAACTCTTGCCCCGGAATCTGAAATAGTGAATTAAAGCTGAAATAAATCTGTTTCTATCTGACTGTTTTGAAATGACCTCTGATGCAAACTAAGCAGAGGCCCAATAGACCTTCCAAAGAAATGTATGGTAACATGAAATGTTCAAAATCAGTTCAAAAATTGGTGGAATTCCCCTTTAAAAAATTCATTAGACATTTCTAACACACACATAACTTGTTTATTGCGCTCATTTAGACATTTATGAATATCTATATATGACAGACTTTTATGTCAACAGTTCTGTCATAAAATCTTTAAGTAGGGGTCTTTAGATACGTTGAAAAATCACTTTATGAACATTAGGACATGAAATAAACTAGAGTACCCTGTGTTTGATCAGAGGTGAAATGAAAGCTCTTGATAAGGCTCTGACTCAGCTTTTGCCTTATCAATGAATACTCTTAAGCAGATAATTCAGTGTCAAGGAGTGGCATACAAGTATTCTGTAGCTGCTGGAGAAAACAGAGCCAAAGATATGCTGTAAATAGAAAGAGGACTTTAAAAAACAGTGTCTGATCAGGGTACTGGTGTACATGGACATATGGAATAGATGCATTAATGATCCACTACCTTGTCTCCCACGATGCATCTGTATGAATGACCTCCCATGTGTCAGTGCTGTTGTGAAACTTTTCCACTGTGATGAAGGTCTTGCCTCTCTGTTATTAGAACCAGCATAGATTAAGGAGCTGCACTGTATTCAACATTTTAAACACCAAAAGTGCAGCGTTAATGAGCTAAAATGCTTAATGCAAAACACAGCTTAGCATGGCTTAATGTAATGACAGTGATATAACGTAATTAAATGTTAATGACAGTCCCAACAAGGTGAATTCAGACAGCTAGGGTTTCGTAAGTCTTAAACCTAAGGAACCAATCCCATCCTTTGGTGAGGTAAGGCTTTACATATCATTAGCACTATAAAATGAAAATCATTTTCCAGCTGTTTTGTAAACTTTACTCAAAAACAAATGAGGTTTGCCAATAAACTTATATTGAAGCAAAACGCTATTCAATCCATTTATCCTGGAGACACAGCTAGTAGGAGCCAACTGGTAAGTTTATTTTTTTGGTGTTTTATCCATTGACTGTGTACAAAACATCTACAAAGCTTCTTTGCAAGCTTCTTGTTTGAATGTTTTCCATTCCACATTAAATAGTGCAGTAGCTACGGTAAAATTCAAATAAGAGGGCCAGAGGCACCGGAATGTAACTGCGGCACCATTTAAGGTGGAACGGGAAATTTGAACAAGAAGCTAACAAATAAAAAACTGACTTCAGCCTCCTAACAAATCTGCAATGTGCCAGATAATGTTAGACAACATTAGCCTTACAAGGTACATGATGATTCATGTCAAATGCTGACAGGACACTTTATACTGATGATTGATTGATTGATTACGATAATTATGACAAAAAAAATCACAACTTTGGGGTTGTACTCAAAAAAACTGTCATAATAAACATCGTCCTCATAAGCTGCTAGTATAGCGTTAGCAAGATAAGATTAGCTAATTCAAGTACATATGGAACATGGAGTAAGCAGGGGCCGTATTATAGAAAATCTGTAAATATTGAGTTAGGCAGTCTGAGATCTGCTTTGTTTTCATGGTAACTTCAGTTAAGTTAGGACAGAAGCCATTACAGAACAACAGTTCTTAAGTCTATAATCTTATCTTATTACCAGATAAGAAAACAGTATTACAGAAACATCCCAAGTTGCCAAAATATCCTAAATATTTTCTTAACTTTAAGACAACCCCAGAGCATCTTAACTTCTGTTTTAACCGTCTGTTTCTATTGTTTTATGCAGTGATAGGCAGTGCAGTTCACTATAACTAGCTTAATGACACTACATTTATCTACACTGAAAACGGCGCTTGTTTTTTTCTAACAGCGTTGAAAAGCCACAGATGCTACAGACCTCCATCGAGCTCCACTGTCCCCTCTTATTACCTTAGTGTGTTATTGTTGATGAAAACTTGCCAGATAAAATATCACAGTGATGGTGAATAATGAGGAGACAGAGCTGAACGTGTGTCTGTTTATTAGGAGGAAAAACGTTAGCGCATCGGCTGAAGTGTTTGGGAAATGAAACTGAAACTGTGGAGCGACGATGCTCTGAAAAACAGCCCAACGCGCTCTCACAATATTATTAGCTTTCAGTTTGTCACGCTTTAGTTTGATTAGACTTTCTTTACACCAGTAACGGCAGCTAATGTTAGCTGTCTGACTAGCTAGCTAACTAACTTGATTACGTGTTTGCGTTTCAGCTGTGCGCGGATGGTCGGTTGTTAGGTAACAGACACGACAGTTGACTGTCGACTTCAGTCGAATAAGTTAAGATTTCTTAACTTGAGATAAGAAAAGATGCTGTAAGATAAGATGAGATTATTAAATCAAGATAAGATTTGCTTCTGTAATACGAATTTGTGAACAATCTTAGACCTTGACCTGTCAGATCTTAAGACAACAAGATAAGAATTTTCTGTTATATGGCCCCTGTTTTCTGACAGACAACCCTGATGGCAAACTTCTATTTGCATAATCATAGATCCACACATACTGAATGAAAGCAAAGGTGTAGAGTTACATCTACGCAACTTTTAAGGCATTAGAGGATATTTTCTTGGAAAAAACTTCAAAATATGTTTTAGGGGTTTCATTGATGATAATATGTGAGAGGAATTGGGTATTCCTAAGTTTTACTGTTTTATCTCATAGATCTACATGAAACGTTTTCCTTATAATGAGTTGCAATGAAAAGGAGAAAGCCTAATGTAAAAAGTATTGCTTTGTTTTTGAACTAGAGTTTTGTTTTTTTTAGTATGAGACCGTCTTCAGGACTGGAAAGATGGGAGCACAATTTGGTGCTCTTTAGTCGCTGCATTGGAACATTAAGCCACGTTCAGCAGTTTCATCAAGTATTTTAGAATGCACACTATCAAATAACTCACCATGTCCCCAGAGTTTCTGGGATTACCAGCAACAAAAGTCACGGACACAACCTCTCCCTGCAGACAACAAACCATACAACAAATATAACAGTATAAATGTATAAAAGATTGTATAAAAGATTGTGGGCACAGCAAACCATCCATACTTTCGTCTGTTAAATAAAGCATAAGCAATTATTTATTGAATATTTGTGTATTTTGTCTTCTTTTTCATAAACAATAAGCCACTGAAGGCTGTGCATTACTGTGAGTTTACCACAATTCTTCACTAAGACTTCTTAATTATAATAAAATCATGATAATTCATGGCATCTCATGGTGTACATTTTACAGCAGCTACTAAACTAAAAGTAAACTATCCATTTTATGAACCAGATTAAGACCTGTGTGACTCACCACTTTATACAGTGAATCGACCTGCTCTAAAACTTGGCCGAAGGTGGTGTTTTCTGGCACTTTATCCACCGGTGGCTCTGCCAGTAGAGAGAAGACATTACTGAAAAAAGGAGGCTCAGGACCTTTCGGCAACTCCCCCACTTTACCCTGTGATGGAGAAGTGAATTTTATCACAAATAGTACGGAGTGCAAGTACGTATTTCACTGGCTGTATTTAAACAAACATGCAAAACGGGTTTAAACTGGTAGCCACAAGGTTAGATATAAGGGAGATGTTCTTGCCTCTACGATGGCTTTGGCCAGGCCTCTGAAGTGCTGGATGTAGGCTGACAGAGTGTGAGGCCCATAGATAGTGGAAGCACCTTCATATCGCTGCACCTGTGAATGAAAAATAGTGTCCACTAGATGCTGAATATGAGCTGATATTGCACTGGAAATCCCAAGCAAGAATCAGTCTTTATGGCCAAGTAGCCCTTAAAAGTCAGTTATCTCTGGCACGTTTGTGTTCATAAGCATGGTCTGAATTTGGAGTGCTGTTTGCCATGTTTTGTCACTGTTTGACATTAAAACAAAGGGAAAAAGTCAGAGGAGCAGACACAAACCTGGCAATACAAAATGTAAATCACTTTTTAAGTAACTAATTACATAACTGCATTAAAATAGTATAGCAAAATAACAATAATAACTAGACATCTAATTTTCTATATAGAAATGGTAATACTAGTTCCAAGAAAACACAAAATAATGCATGCATGATTGCCATCCCCCTGGTTAACCAACTCCTAGGACAACTGTGAATAAGCAAGAATAAAAATAAAGCTAGATTTTATGGTTATTTACCTGGTACTCCTCAAAGGTAGTAATGTAATGTGTGTAGACGTTGCAGAGACCAGTAACGACAACTTCTGTGTTGGTGAATGTATTATGCATCTCCAGCTCCTAAATTAGTCAATATAAAACATCATCACCCTCATCACCACTCACAACATTCACAAAGCATTAACATTGTTAGTCTTCTGCACTGTTTCTCTGCTACTGCAAACAAAACAAACAAACCATTTGAACCATCTAGACAGATTCATATGAGTGGAGAAACTGTAAATGAGCTGATGTCATTGGAATAAACAGAAGCTTTTATTCCTCCCTTGAGCTAGGTCCTCGGTATATGTGTATGTTCTCACCTGTTTGACAGCCTCTCTGATCCTTCTCCCAGACATAGTGCTAGAAAAACATGCAAAATGTGAAACCTCATGCCTTACAATTCACATAAAATCATGCAGTTGCATTTTTTATTGGTTAATAGCTACTGCAGGGCCAAAGTGATTGTTTTTCACTAATAATGTAGTTAAACAATATATGTCTGGTGTCTGAAGTATGACATAGTGTCACCTATATGACATTATGACCTACTGCTATCTACAACCCCATTTCCAAAAAAGTTGGGACGCTGTGCAGAATGTTAAAAAAAATAGAATGCAATGATATGCAAATCATGTAAACCATATTTTTAAAAGAAAATACTACATATACAACATACTACATATCAAACAGACAACATATCAAATATTGAAACTGAGAATTTTTTTTTTTTTATTGTTTTTTGAAAAATATATGCCAATTTTGAATTTGATGCCAACAACACATTCCAAAAAAGTTGGGGGGCATGTTTACCACTGTGTTTCATCACCTCTTCTTTTACCAACACTCTGTAAGCATTTGGGAACTGAGGAGACACTGCTGTAATTTTGAAAGTGAAATGTTTTCTCATTCTTCTTTGATATACAGGATTTCAGCTGCTCAACATTTCAGGGTCTCCTTTGTCACATTTTTAATTTCATAATGCGCCAAATGTTATCAGTGGTGACAGGTCTGGACTGCAGGCAGGTCAGTTTAGCACCCAGACTCCTTTAATACGGAGCCATGCTGTTGTGATACATGCAGAATGTGGTTTGACATTGCCTTGCTGAAATAATCAAGGCCTTCCCTGAAAAATACGTTGTCTAGATGGCAGCATATGCTGCCAAAACATGTATATATCGTTCAGCATTAATGGTGCCTTCACAGATGTGCACATCACCCATGCCATGTGCACTAATGCACCCCTGTACCATCATGAATACTGGCTTTTGAACTGTGCACTGATAACAAGCTGAGTGGCCTTTAGCCCAGAGGACAGTGTCCATGATTTCTGAAGAGAATTTCAAATGTTGATTCATCAGACCACAGGACACTTTTCCACTTCCCCTCAGTTCATTTTAAAAGAGCTCAGGCCCAGAGAAGGTGGCAGCATTTCTGGATCTTGTTTATATATGGTTTCTTCTTTGCGCTTTAGAGTTTTAACTTGCATTTGTAGATGCAGTGACGAACTGTTCTCACAGACAGTGGTTTTCAGAAGTGTTTCTGAGCCAATGAAGTGATTTCCACTACAGAATTCTGTCTGTTTTTAATGGAGTGCCGTCTGAGGGCCCAAAGATTACGGCCAGCAAATACTGGTTTTTGGCCTTATCCCTTGCATACAGAGATTTCTCCAGACTCTCTGAATCTTTTAATGATATAATTTACCGTAGATGATGAAAAGCAAAAGTTCTTTGATATTTTATGTTGAGAAACGTTATTCTTGAATTGTTGAACTTTTGGATCGTGCAGTCTTTCACAGAGTGGTGAACCCCTCCTCATCTTTACTTCTGAAAGACTCAGCCTCTCTGAGATGCTCCTTTTATACCCAATCATGTTACTGACATGTTGCCAATTAACCACCAGGTTTTTTTTTTTTTATTATTACACAATTTTACCAGTCTTTTGTTGCCCCCGTCACAACTTTTTTGGAACATGCTGCTGGCATCAAATGCAAAATGGACATATATTTTTCAAAAAACAATGAAATTTCTCAGTTTCAATATTTGATATGTTGTCTTTATACTATTTTAATTAAATATAGGGTTTAAATGATTTGCACATCATTGCATTTTGTTTTTATTTACATTTTGCACAGCATCCCAACTTTTTTGGAAATGGGGTTGTATAAAAAAGGACAAAAGTATATTGCATAGCTAAAAATAGCAGCAGAAGCCACCTTGAAATGTGATTTCTGTCCATACTGTTGTTCATATTCATAGATAACAGCATATAATACCTTTTCTGAAGCAAATATATGAGATTACTCAACAATTCATGTGATTTGAGGCAAACATGTAATTTCTGAGGCACGTTTTAATTCCTCAATGCTAACTAGTGAGCTAGCAGTCTATTAATTATTAGTTAGATTAGCCTTGTAGCTCCAGTGCAGACTTTGGACACCAAACCTGTCTTAGCTGACCAACTACTAACAATTTATTTTTAGTCAAACTATAATTTTAAAGTTAATCTGTCTTGCTTCAAACACTTACGTCGCCTCTCCTGGGACTGCCACTATGGCCACCGAACCGATGGTGATAATCTGAACGTCCACTATGGCTGGGTGCCACGGGAAAGGCCAATTCATCTAGAAACCCCATACACAACTTCAGTTCACAGCTAAACATTAGAGTACTGAGAGAGAGTACTAAGGGACGTCTGACAAAAAAATCTAGTGTATAAACTGTTCTTACCTCACCAGTACTGAAGAGAATCGGTTTGGGGTTCTGACAGTCTTGAATCTCTGTGGAGGGAGTTCCGAAGAGAGTGTCCCTAATACCATCCCAAAACGGATCTCCTTCAACTGCCCCTGTAAATTATGAGTTGTTGACTTAATCATACAGTAGAGATTGGACAGCATTGCTCATTACCTGTTGGCAAAAATAAGCACTGAAACAACTAATTGAGGAATCAAAAGCAACAGAATAGTGAAGGTTTGAGGCCTTCTGAGGGCTTCTGATTGTAATTGTTTTTAGAATTTGTTTGTGTGGGCTTTTTTGAAAAGTGCTCTCTCATTGCTTCTTCACAGAAATGCAGTTTTATGTAAAGCTTCTCTTTCAGTCACTCATCTTCAGCACAAAACAGATGGCGGTATAAAATAGGCCCCAAGTGTCGGCAATTAAAAACTCTCCTACAAGTCCAAAGGATGTTATGAAAAACACTGTAATGAGCTGCAAATGTAAAACTTTTAATGAGACTCCACTGCAGTTCTGCATGTACACAGACTACTTTAGAAGACGTTTTAGCACAGGCTTCTGTAGAAAAAGCAGTATTACCACTATTAGCTTTTATTAGCATTTTCCAGTATTTGTGAATCCTCTGTCTTGAGAAATGTTTCCACATGTAGTTCTTTTCAAATGAACCAAACTCAGATCTGTTAAAGTGAACCTGAAAAGGAACCAGCTGCAAGTGACCTCAGTGCTTTTTTGTGTTTGCAGTGTAAGCAAACTTTAAAGGGGACTCTTTAGCATTGATGAAAAATCAAACCACTTCTTGTTCACACCACAGCCCACACCAACTCCCTGCCTGGGTAACACTGAATTATTGGTAGTATGGCTCACGTTCATCATGAGGAGTTTGATTTTACCTGCTAAGTACTGGAAAGCTGTAGCTGTACATGTACAATAAGCTTTGAGGTTGTTTGACCATGAAGCAAAACGCGAATCGGACCATTTTACTTTCACAACAAACCAATTAGACAAAATAAATAAATAAATAAATAACCACAAACAAACTTTACTGAGACCACATCAAAAACTCTGTATGGCTGTTCTAGATTTCAATTTCAGTTCTAGCTAGCACAAAGCAGCGCATTCACTTTCCTCACTAAATGGGCGAGGCAATTTACTACCTTGACATTCCAATATTATCTAACAATGGCAACTACAAACTGGCCCCATGTGAACAGACTCAGAAAAGAGAGAATAACTTGCCTTGTGTGAAGTTAAGATCTCCTCCTCCGTCTATTGTTCCTGCAGCAAAGCTGTGGCCAAGTGCAGGTTTACATGTCTTAACCTGGTAGCAGCACAAATTCAGTTAGCAAATTAGCATTACTACATAAACGTATACCGGTGTACACCACAGTAAAGAGCCATAGTCCATATTTATTTTTATTACCAATGCTGTTTTTATTCCTGTGCCTTTTATGACGATCTATGTAAATACTGTGAATATGCCAATGCCCTCTCTATATTGCATCCTATTCATATAACAGTCCAGGCTGAAATGTACAGAACAAGTTTCGACTGAAATCTTCAGAGAAATAAATAAACTCAATTTAAATGTCTGGATCCTTTAAACATCTATGCAATGATATATTAATCACAATATTGTCATAAGTAAAACATTTTATTGATTTTCTAAGTGCAAGTAAGTTAACACATCCTCTACATTTACAACAGCCATTGCTCATACATGAAACAAACTTAAATATGCCATTTTTTTCTGCAATTTTATGTGTCTATTTATTTGCCGAGTTTAACATACCGGAAAAAAATAAAACACAAAGTGTAAAATGCGCCATAACATTTGCACTTTTTTTCTTAAATATGTTAAATGCAGAAAATAAACAGTAACTGTACAATAAAATGTGCAGAAGTGTATTCTCTGTAAAGGATGTGTACTTATTTTTTTCTTAGAAAATGAACAAAAAACTGCCCTTTAAAACAACAACAAAATAAGATGAGAAATGTTTCTCAGTTCTAAGGATGGTAACCATGGACCAAAAATAAAGTGAAGCTTTGCTAGATTAAGTAATTCTGCAGGAGTTACTCACACTGTGGGTGGAGTTAAGCTGGACAGTGACGTCTGTCATGTTGACCCACTGATGAGCAGCGTGGACACTGCCATGCAGCTCCTTCTCAGCACTGCCATACAGCTCCTGCACATCAGTACACTGTGTTAGGGAGTGTGGAGGATAAAGCTAAAGAAATAAATGACAACAACTATATATAACATACCTTCGCCTTTCTGTAGATATTCTCTCCTATAATTCTGGTGCTTTCAAACATGTCATCCCCCGGCCCAAAAGCAACACACATTTTAGTCTGTAATCACAGGAAGAGAAATGAGACTAAAGCATATTAGAACAGAAAATCCTATTATCCGATTATGTTTGTATTCTACTCATGCATCTTTTCTGGGGTAATCAAAATCAAATCAATTTGTATTAAGTTGAAAACACACAATCCATCACATCACTTGCACAAATATGTATACGGTTGTGTGTTTATGTAGATTTTTTCCATATCCCAATGCTCTTGACTTTTTCGGTGGCCTTAGCTGTACATAGGTGGCGTATCATTTTTTATCCATTCATGGCAGAGAGAATATTTTCTCATTTTGGTGTTCAAAGGGTCGCTCTTATTACGGCCTTTGGCAAGGACAGCAACAATGCGGACTGAGCAGCGGCCTCTTGCCCAATCAGAGTGGAGGGGTTTGTTTACGGCCGTCTAACCAACATGGTTTAGGAGAAGATATTCAGATATGAGTTAAAATGCATTTAATTACTCATTTAACTTGCCATTGAGCTCCATCATGCTTGTAATCTGCCACTGTAGAAAAACAAACCAGCTCATTTAAAATAATGACTGATAACATAATTTCACAGGGTAGAGCAAATGCAGAGCCTCCATGTTGTCCCAAACACACAATTATAAACCTAGAGCCCTAGAGATTTCTTATCTTCTATATCATCTGTATGGGAGGAGGACTGCAGGGTGCCATTTTGGCCAGGGCTCTAGTTGTTACTAGCTAAGAAATAGCTTACAGACTGATGGTGCAAATGAATTATGTAAAATATAAGCTTCACAATAACCTGTGCTAACTAAAGACTTCGTAAAGACTTTATTCACAAATTAAAGTGCAAACATACACATAGCCAGTGAACCCACAACCCAGCCCAGTATATGTAAAAGTAACTCACCCCACCAATGGGACAGGAGCTGTTGAGGTAGTCACATTTGTCTCCTGTGTTAACACAGTATGGGCCACGAGTGTTGGGAGATACATCTCCACTGTTGCTGGTGGCAAATGCTGCTACAAATGGACCCTACCAGGTGAAGGAAGAATATAATGCACTGTGGAAATCTCTCTCTGCATTTTCGGTAATCCTACATACAGAACCAGTCAAAATTTTGGACATGTTCTCTTAAATAAGGGTTTTCCTTTATTAGCCATCTTTACCTCAGAGTAAGATGTAAGATTCCTAAACTCTGATTGAAGAGATTCTTAGAAAGAATAAGACATCTCACCTCACCAGGTAACGAGCCAATGTTTTTCTCTTGCTCAAACAGATAGGAAGCGTAGCCAAGGTTGTCTGAGCTCACCATGCGATTGGTATAATTCATACTGACTGGATGAACAGCAAACCAGCTGAGAACAGATCAACAAAAAAATGGTCACTTTCTTAATTATTTGTGTTCAATCATATCGTCAATTTTAGATTTTTTCATTGACTTCCTCACCACTTCCATTAAAAAAGATTGCTTGGGCACTATTATTTTTGTATGACACAAATAATCATGGACTAAACATTAGCTACACTAATGTTATGTAAAGCACACTAATGTAATCAATGTTTGTGATGCTTGGATTGTGCAGCAATTATTTAAATTAAATTAGAAAAAATCGAACAGTTGCAACTATGCTACATGTCTGTTTCACATCTAATAAACTTAAATTAGCTATGAGTCGCTAGCACTAGTTTATCTATGCAGGCTAACAGCTCCATAAACCACCACGCAGGTTTGATTCCTTCTGACGATGCATTCCAATCACCCTTGTAGGTCCCTGCAAAGTGTACTGTGCAGGGTATTCAGACGTTTTAAGGGAGTTCTGTTGAAAGGAAACTGCACAGGGAGTAGTGAACAATGGTTTATCACTTCGCAGGAAGCTGCAGGAAAAATCACCCATCGGTCATTGGAGGTCTCTTGAAGAAGCGTATTTGATTTTGATGCTCCAGGATGTTCCAAATGAAGGTATTTATCAACTCCAGTTCCCTTAACCGACATGCAGTGTTCAAGTGTGTAGGGAACATAACAGTACTGCTTAGGAACCTTGTAGAAATGAATGCAGCTTGACACTCCCTTGACGCATGCTTAGTGGACAAGTCTGAGGGAGCGGACGCACCGTTTTCCATAAACAGATCTAACCTGTTCTGTGGTGTGTTGAGCTGTTAGCCTGCTAACGTTAGCTAGTTAAAGATAGCATCACAACGAGCTCCACTATACTGTTAGCTAGCTGTTTAGCAAATAAGACTAATGGTTTGACATTATTATTATTATTGGTATAGAAGTTGCTTATATGACATTTTAGTAGTTGGGCATAAAAATAATACATAGGAAAGTGTAACAATATATATATATATATATATATGTATATGTGTGTGTGTGTGAGAGTGTGTGTGTGTGTGTGTGTGTGTGTGTGTGTGTGTGTGTGTGTTTTAACCAGTTAAACTCTATAACATTTATATTATAGCCTAAGGATTATTATTTAGCAATTACATGGAAAACAATGCACACTTGCTGAGTTATCAGCAAATTATCAAAGTGCAGAATGCAAGTCTGATTAATGTTCAACTATTTAGGGGATGGCCTACTTTAAGTGTGCTTCGCATTGCCATTTGAAAGGCAATGAGATATAATATATCAGATATACATAATCAGTTGCAAAAATGTATAACTGAGGCCGTTTTACAGAAACTTCCTATCTCTTTGTCTTAACTTAAGATCTGACAGGTCCAGATAAGATTTTTCACAAATTCGTATTACAGAAACAAACCTTATCTTGATTTAGGAATCTTACAGCGTCTTATCTCAAGTTAAGAAATCTTAACTTACTCGATCGAAGTCGACAATCAATTGTCATGTCTGTTACCTAGCAACCGACCACACACGCGCACAGCTGAAACTTAAACGCGTAGCTAATCAAAACAATCAAGCTAGTCAGCCAGGCAGCTAGCTAGCTACCGTTACTGATATGTAAAAGATTAAACAAAACTAAAACGTGATAAAGTGAAAGTTAAGAATATTGTGAGAGTGCGTTGTGCTGTTTTTCAGAGCGTCGTCGCTCTCCAGTTTCAGTTTAATCTCCCAAACACTTCAGCCGAGCGCGCTAACCTTATTCCTCCTGATAAACAGACACACTTCAGCTCTGTCTCCTCATTATTCACCACCATCACTGTGATATTTAATCTGACGAGTTTTTTATCAATATTAACACATGAAGGTAATAAGAGGGACGGTGGAGATCGTGTCTGCAGCGTCTGGGGTTTTAAAACGCTGTTAGAAAAAAAAGCACTGTTTTTAGTGTAGATAAATGTGACGTCATTATGCTAGTTATAGTGAACTGTGCTGCCTGTCACTCCACAAAACAATATAAACAGACGGTTAAAACAGAAGACAGCTGTGGGGTTGTTGGTTGGGGTTGTTAGGACAGAATTTAGGGAATTTTGTCTAGTTAGGATGTTTCTGTAATACTGTTCTTATCTGGAGTTCATGGATAATATCATGAACGTAAGAACTGTTGTTCTGTAACAGCTTCAAGTTGTCATGGTGACTAAGCAGATAAGATTTCAGACTTAAGAAGTTTATGTAATATGGCCCCTGGTTGCTAAAAGGTTCTAATACTGTCATAATATGCAATTTCTCATCATGTTTCAAAAGTCAGTTTGTATCAAACACTTGTTTAAAGCTGCTGGTGTAAATATATACCTGAAAATCCCCATTCCATCCCCATCCAAATCTGTAAACTTCAGGGTCACAATCTGCTCATCTGTATTGGATTTGTATCTGGAACAGATAAGTCCTTACCAATTCAATATTCATAATTTCACTTTAATGCTGATGAGAATTTATACAAATATAACAGACATATGTCACTACATAAAACAGTCAGTTATATTTATGCAAGACATGATAGTACATATAACTTAAATATGCATCACATGCTTTACACATGTATATTTAGGATTTGATATAAAACATAACGCCTGTTTTACCTTTCCCTCTCCTCTTTAGGGTTGTTCATGTATGAATGTGGGCTTCTGTTGAGGTTGCTGCCCACAATTTCTCCTTTGTTCAGAAAGATTCTCCCAGGCCTCATATTATTATGTGCCACATCAATACTCTGGTTAAGAAGATTGTGGACATTTTATTTCAGAGAAGTTAAGTAATCAGTACAGAGTAATCTGCTGTGTTAATATTAACAATGATACTGATGGCAGTTTTCTTGATTTGAAATACTCTAAACAGTCTGTGCAGAAATAGCAATGACTGAAACAAATCAGCAAGAAGTACCTTCACAATTCCATTGACAATGGGCTGGATAGATGACTTGATATAGCCTTTACTGGTGATCATGAACAGAGTGTACTGGAAATATCCTGCCAGGCCAGAATGTGTGTGCGTTCCACTCAGAATCACGTTGTCTTGCCTGTAGAGATCTCCATATTTCAGCTCAAGCTCCTTCAGCACCTACAACAACCACAGCAGTGTGAGGTATGTGTGGTCTTTTTGTAGCTCCTTTCAGAGCACAGTAAAAACAATGTGGGGAAAAGTTTTAAGTACAGTGTTCGTAAGGTGAAGAAAGGATTGCACTTTGCTTCACTTGCAACAACAAATTGGAATAACAACAAAGTGCTCGCCTTGCAACCACAACCTGCGTCTTGCGTTGTTATCTAAAATGGTGGATTTCATGGCATATACTGAAGCCTACATACTGTAATAATTTTAGTATAATAATTTTATGTAACATTTATGTTTTTATATATTGTCGTTTTTTTTTTTCAGTTTTTGGCTGAATATGTCCTGAATTTCAGTATCGATTTCAGGCACATTTTTCATTTTGGTGAATAATTACTAATACTCCTCCTCGTACTACTACTACTTCTACTACTAATAATAATAAGAATCCAATTATTGATTAAAAATTATAATAAAAAATCTAATTATACTACACCATGCTGTAATTGTTGTTATATATAGTTGTAGCCCATGTCCTGGATACGTCTGTGTGTGGTGGTTCTTGAAGCACTGACTCCAGCAGCAGTCTACTCCTTGTGGATCTCCCCCAAATTCTTGAATCGCCTTTTCTTAACAATGCTTTCAAGGCTGCGGTTATCCCTGTTGCTTGTGCACTATTTTCTACCACACTTCCTTCCACTCAACTTTCCATGTATATGCTTGGATGATTGTGTAGCCTACTGAACCAGACTGAGGGACCATTTAAAGGCTTAGGAAACCTAGGAAATAAATTAACTTTTCGATGATATTCTAATTTATTGAGATGCACCTGTATATATATATATATATATATATATATATATATATATATATATATATATATATTTGTTCTGACAGCAGTGATATGGAAGACATATACAGTCAAATATTTTCACATGACTCCAACTGTTCTGAAAAAAATAACTATGTATTGTGGTTGCAAAAATATACTAAACTTTTCTCTAAATACTAAATATGTATTACATTTTTGAAATTGTGAATACTTCGCATTTTCCCCTTACACACTGTTGTCAACTTGCATTTACAAGCCTGCAGAAAGTGTTCAGGAAAATCTAGTTACCTCAAGTCTCAGCCTTTGGGAGACCATGCCTATTTCTGCACTCACGAAGACCACCCTCTTGCTGCCATCATCCACAATGAAAGCCCTGCTGAACAAACGAGTGTGGATCCCTCCTGCTGTCTGATCCGAGTTGGCATAGCCCATCTTTTACAAAACATACACCAGATAATTCAGCCATGTTTAATAGCCTTTCAGAAGGCCATGTTACATCAAAGTAAACAACGTTAATCGCAAATGTAATTGCTGCGTTCTGATATGGTTTCAGACAGCCTCACCCATAATAAAAGCTTTTAGTCTTATACTGCAGAGTTGCAGTTCATACAAATCGGTCCATCTGTGCTCCCACCGCAAATGCATTGTTTCACAGCAACCACTGATAGGTTTTTGTTTGAACACAGAGAGTGCATAATTAATTTCTAAAGATATTTATTTTGTATGGATGGTCATACTGTTATGCTGCCTTAGCTGTAGGTTTTTTTGTGCAATCAAGCTAATGTTAGCATGGAGGCCACCTTGCAGCAGCAGCTACTACAGAATGCATTTATAAGTGGAGCATGGATAGGTCAGTGGGAGAATATCTCCAGAAACATACAGTCGAATGAAAAAGTTTGGCGCCTCTGGTCAAATGACATTTTATTGATTTTCTAAGTGAAACTAAAACACTTATTTTCATTTGGAAAATCAACACAAAACATGATATTTAACCAGGGTTTTCAAACTTTTGCATCAACTATACTACCCTTAGTTACAGTAACACACAAAATGGATAGATGATAGAGAGAAAATATCAAAATCCACCCAGCAATTTCAGTCCCGATCTGTGAGCCATGTCGACCACTCACCAGGGGTATATCTCCCACTGGTCCTGTGCAATCTGCTCGTCCCACGCCAATCAGAAAGGGGTTCTCTGGAGGCTTTGCTGAAGGAACAGTTTCCTCTGGCTCCTCTGTGTGTTTGACACACAAATATGAAATATCATAAACACTTATTTATACTAGACTCTAACCATTAAGCACATAACAATTGTTTTTTCTTTTTCTCAACTCTTCTCAAATTACAGATCTTATCTGCTCTATTACACATTCACTAGGGATGCATCGATACTGATACAGACTGATACACCAATATGAACATCCAATACAATCTGATACCTGATATGTGATGTAAGCTTAGTGTACTCTGCCTAATGAGCTGGCAGGGCATGAGGGTCTGCTCACCAAGAGAAGTGTTACTGGCCCCATGGAGGTCAATACAAAGTTGCTGGCCACTTTAAACATTCTGCTTTGGCAAATTTTCTGGTGAGTACTAAAAATATGTACTCATGGTGAAAAAGGTATTGATGCATCCCTATTTACTTCCATTTGAAATCAGAAAGTTTGGTTATTGTGTGTATAATTTTAAGTGTCGATTTTAAATATTATAGACACTAAAAAGTATTTTCTGATGTTTTATTTAATACATTGGGAGCAACAAGAAGTTATTATATATAATTTACCGCTATTAACTGTTTATTTAAGCAATAGAACATGAGAGGGAGTGTGTTATCATGAAATAACATCACGGCTGTGATTTGGTCGCAGGCACAAGCCGAAGGTGAGTGACGTAGATCATCACAGCCGTGATGTTATAGCAATAACACATGACCTTGAGTGTTCTATTGCTTTTATACAACAGTTAAATAAATACAGTAATAAATAAATAAATTGGGCTGTGAACATTTAACTAATATGTTTTAATGTTCGCAGTTCCTTCTGCCAAATTATAGTTCCTTAAGGAGCAGCTTGTTGCTACGTCAGAGTAATGAACTCCGCTCACTCACTGCACAGCCAACAGTTCGTTCTCCAGCTCCACACAGACCAACTGACAGTTTGGGAATTTAGTGTGGTCTCATCTTCCGAGTCTGACGAAATCAGCTGTCGGTCAAATGTGATCTCAAAAGTATTCATTTTCTGTTTGTGGCAAAGTAAGAAGTAAAAACGTTCAAATGGCTTGAGCGTCTCCTACAGCAGTCAAAGTTGTTGCTTAGCAACGGCGTCTCAGCGGAATGATACAGTGTTTGTGAAAAACCCGTGATGTTATGGCGAAATAACAGCACGGTTAGAACACTTCTCAACCAATCAGCTTGTGTGGCCGGAACGAACTGTTGTATAAATAGCTATATCAATTCTGAAGTTGTCAGCATTGACGCTTATGAAATAGTGAATGCTATTGGATATTAAATGAGAATCCCCTGATTGTACAAAATTTCTGCCTAATTAAATCATTAAGGTAAATTAATTATTAAGTAAACAAACTCATTCAGAGTGGTTTGATGTGAAATGCTAGAGAAACTTATTGACCCAGAATTGTATTTTAAGCATTGTATTTGAATGGTAGACTACTGTACATCCATGACGAGTTATAGGCTAAAAGCATGAGTCATTACGTGTTTGAGAGTTGAGGTTGACGGCTAAGACTGTGATGAGTCCCACTGATATTCCAGTCATTAGCAGGAACAGAACCATAAGCAGCAGCTCCAGGCTACCGAGACCACAACAAACGGCCTTACGAGCCATGCTTCTGCACATAAACACAGAAAAGCTACTCAGGAAGTGACACAGAGACTTTAACAACAAGGGGTTAACCACATATAGAACAAATACACAGAGAAAATAAAATTCCAACAAAGGAATCACTCTTCCGTATTATCATTTGACTCTTGTCTACCACATTAAACTATGCTCAGTGAATGTACAGTAACTGTAAAGTACATAAATACTGAATATGGCACGTAAGTTATATGAGACTGATGAGTGTTAAAATATACATTTTATTCATCAATGGTTGCTTAAATTATATGCAGTAAACAGCAAAGTGAAAGTAGGGGTCGGCGATAAAGCACAAAAATATCATAATACTTTATCACGATAGACATTTCACGATACATGAGGTGCATTACAATATTTTATTTTTCTGAAGTTTAATAAATTGAAACAGACAAAATAGAACCTATAGTGCAAAAATATATATATATAATATAATAAAAATATAATAATAATAATAATAATTGCAGTTAGTGTTTTCTACATACTGACAATATCCATATGTTCAGAAAAGCAAACTGTGACAGTTTTTCATGCTATCTATTAAATATCGTGATATTGCCCACCCCTAGTGTGAACATTAAATCACCAAAATGTCAAATTGATTTCTGATCTAAACACTGTTAAATTATCGACGTGAGCCTTAGAGGTCAAAAAAACATGGTGTAATTTAATATTTCTCACTCGTAGCTCATTGAAACAAGTGGAGGCATTAAAGATTCAATCAAAGTACAATCTATCTACATGTTTGTAAGCAAAGTAGGAGATATTTTATTATGATATGCATTTTAAGTAAAAGTTATTCTTTACGCCTTTTTAATGATTAAAGGGTTTTTTATGACTTATTTGCCATTTTTGAATATTGAAACAAGCTCAAAAAATGAGCAGACTTGAATCTGTCAATACAGAATGTAAATCGAATGTAAATGTGACTATTTAACTAAATCTATACTTGCATTTCTACATTTAAATATTGGTATATATGAAAACAAAAGGGTTAAAGCATTCAATCGACCAAATCTATCAACAATTCAAAAATTGCACAGGTGTTGACGACTTACATTTAGCGAGCACACTCCGTGACCAAATCAATAGCTCTGAGTTGAGGCACAAATGCACCTGATCCTGATAGAGCAAAGCACTTATCCTGACCTGGGACAAAGGTAGCATCGACAAGCAATGTTTTACAGCCACTATTCAATACCATTAGAATGTAAAACACCATGTTTCCTTGCCAAGGGGTGCATTAGTTACGCAACTGTGAAAACATTAGATTGGAGATGCAGTAACTGAAAAATTATGATCATGAAAGGTTATGAAAATGATTGCCATATAATCCAAACATTGAGCAACAATGTTCTTATGTGAAATAGTTTAACAGGTACTAGATGCTTATTACTTAGAAGAGCAGCTCAAGAGAGATGTACAGTTTTACTACAGTAATAATGCATATCGCTTTTGTCAGAACAAAACCTTGTATCTCCAAAATGGTAACTTTTCAGGAGAAGGAAAAACATACTTTATTTCTAATGTAAGTCAATGTAACCAGACTTTTTTCCGAGTCATTTTTGGCCGTTTCTTTTGGTCCATTCATCATGAAATTTGAACACAACGTAAAGGACAACAGGTATTCTCAAATTATGTCAAAAACGGAAAAACGGCAAAAACAGAGATACGACGGCTTGTTCCAACAGCAGCAACATGCGATTTAACCAGATTTAGTTTCACTGTCCCCAGAGAACTCTGTAAATACGCATGAAACTGTGTGTAGCACTGGATGAGGCAAAAGCTGATACTGGCCTTGGTCCTGACAGTTAGACAGTAGCGATGCTTACTGGTTTGTGGAGAACTGTTTATTTAACATTTTACCTTGTTTGGAAACTTTTTTCCATTAAATTTATCGTTATACAAACTTCAAATCCAGAACAAGTTGTGTTTAAAAGAAAACAATTTCAAAATATTTAATATTTTACCTTATAAAGTTCATTGTTTTTTGTAAATAAACATATAAGACTAGGAATGTGGTGAAATGCTCTTAAACAGATGATGCGGCATGCTTGGGCAAAAATGGAGCATCCAGGAAAGGCTTAGTACTTTATGAGTAGGGAAGGGTGGAGGCTCGACACTTTGTCAAAAAAAATCGAATTGGTGAAGAATCAACCTTTGTAAGAAAAAGTTTTCTCCACAAGTGTTTGCAGGATTTTATGATGCATAATATTATCCAGGAAGCCAGAGAAATCTCTATGCTTAAATGGCAAGGCTGAAAGCCACAACTGAATGCTGTTAATCCCTCAGACAGTACTGCATTAGAAACCAGCATACTTCTGTGATGGACATCACCACATGCTCTTGGGAATACTTTGACAAAACTTTGTCTATATCCACTGCTCATATTTGCATCCACAAACACAAGTTAAGTCTATACTATGCACAGTGGAAGCCATATGTTAATAACATTCAGAAATGCTGCCAAATTCTCATCTGAAATGGACTGATGCACAGTGGAAACATGTATTGTGGCCTGATGAGTCAGTCTTTCAGATATGAAAGATATGAAAATCATGTGTGTTGTGTTCTCTGGGCCAAAGAGGAAAAGGACCATCCAAATTGTTACCAGCATAAAGTTCAAAAGCCAGGGTCTTTCATGGTATGAGGGTATGCTAGTGCCCATGGCATGGTAACTTGCACATCTCTAAAGGCATCATTAACACTGAAAGATACATATTGTGGGGTATCAGATGCTGCCCTCTCGGGACATCTTTTTAGGTATGTTCAAAACACAATAAAGTTCATAGGGTAAAACATTTAATATTGTGTTTTTGTACTGTTTTCAATTTAATACAGCACAAAAAGAATAGCGAGTGCTTTACGTTAAGATTTGCAGGTCACATGTTGCTCCAACTTTTTTGGAATTGGGGTTTGTAAAATTACAATAATAACTTGAGACTTTTAAGGTCAGGAGTCAAATGATAACATAATAAAAAGCAAAAGTGGAACTTCACAACAGTTGGTGAACTTGTACTTTATGCAGCCACTAAACAAATGAATAATAAAAAAAACTAGTACATCATGTTTATTTGTCACCTTTGTTAAAAATAACAAGTCAAATTAGGATTTTAGGATACATCTTCCACCATCTGCTTCATGAAATGAGTCATCATGAAAAGTCACCCAATGAAACAGTAGGAAGTCCGTTTTCTGAACCATTCAAATGTGTTAAAACATCAGGTTTACATACATAAGTTGTGGTGAGAAACAACTTATTACCAGCGCTGTATCATCATCTTTCATCTTCTTTTCTGTCTCCAGCTTGCTGACAGTTCCTCTATTTCACTGCTCTTTTTAAACCCTATGCCTCATGCCCCAGTTAGTGGGCACATCTACACACAATTTGCATGATTATCTGCACTCTTTGTAAATCAGATGATAAATTCAGAGACATTGTGGGCTCATACTGTAGTCACATCAAGGCCCATGTTGCACTTTCACCTGACCCAGAGTGTTACAGTGTGAAGAGTCTTAAAGGGAACAGTGTGTTAGAGGGAATAAAGCATTAAGAAAGTAATGGAGTGTGAAAGGAATAGTTAAAATGAATAGATCATTAGATGGAATAGAGTGATTTTGTCACTCTGAACACCTCTGAAGTTCCCTCGTATGAGGTGATCACAGAGGTGATGATATTGCGCTGTTTGAAGTGGCCAAAGTGGCGGATCCTGTAAGTGCCCGGCTGTGCTGAGAGAGGGATGTGCCAGTCCACTGTGGCATTGCTCTGCCCACCAGACCCTTTCATCCAGTGAAATCTGGACACACACAAACACACATAACTCTAAGTCATAGTTAAGTACACTGATTAGTCACTTTTTTTAAACACCACTCACTGGACACTTCAAGTCCATCTACCTTATACAGATGTTTTGGGAGGCAGGGTCTCGAGAGGAAAAAAAAGGGTATGAAATTGAGCTTAACTTAACACATATTGTAATCACTCTTATCAAGACAGATAATCATGTTTTAGATACAACCAAAGCTAACCAAAGGTACTAACGTTTCTATCTATATGTGGATTTGAATCCCACATTATGTAACATGTGCTTTCTTAAAGAGATTATCAGTGTTTTATTAGTAATAATTGAGGCTACTGAGGAGAACCACAGGCAGTAAGTACTGCAACAGAGGGGGCATCCTCAGGGTACTGGATCTTGTAGAACCTGACCCACAAGATCTATTACTGGGACAAGACTTGATGAAACGTATCTCGAAAAATGGCATAATATTTTTTAAAATACAGTTATTATACACTCGAACCAAAAGGGCATTTGTACAGTCTGAGGACAAAGTGTCTGGGCTCAAACCCCCTCTGAGGACTATTTGTGCCCTTGCCTGACGTAACAGTTTGACTGCATAGGGTTTCTGACCACAGGGCTACTGATGATCAGCTGTTATTAATTGGGTGGTGGAATGTAAGAGGGAATAGTACGTTTAGCAGTGACACTTACAAAGTAATGGTGTGGTTTCGTATGTGATGGTGTTTTAGGGACAGTGGCGTTACTGGAGTTTTTACATGTCAGTGCCAATGCTAATTTAAGACAGGTCCACCACCCAAAAATATCCAACCGAGAGCGGAAGCTCTTTTAAGACTAACCATTTAAGACACATGCTTATATTAAAACTGACCACTGATAAAGGATGAAAGGATGATTTACATAAACCATGCATTAAACTTTGTCTGATGGTCTCTAACTGTACACCAGCAAGGTGGAGATACAAGGGTTTCTAATGAAGTGGATTTTGAGTGTATTTCACTATGGCAAGGCTGCCCAAAGTGGGGTCTACTGGCTAAAGTTGGCCAGTGCGGATGTTTGATTTGGTACACCAGGACCAACCCCAATTCCGCCTCCTCACCCAAAGAGAGAACAAACTATAAAAATATTTTTCAACTCAGAAATAACTCATTGTATTCTGTATTTTGAAGTATTTTAACAACAAAATAAAGTATAATGTTATAAAATACATAAAAAATTGAAGTCTACTTACCTTCTTTGTTTGTATACTGTTTTACCTTTATGGCCCTTTGGCCACAATCATTGTGGACCAACGTTTGGGCACTTTGCTCTAGTGCTCTTACCACTTAAACTTGACTCAGCTTTACAGAGGCAATGTCAACTGAGAGGAAGTGGGGACTTTATTTTTGGTAAGGTGAGAATACTGTGCTGTTTATTTAAGACTTGCTTATGTCGATATACCAAAGTCATATGCTTAACCTCAGTTCAGTTTGTTGGAAGAATACCATTAAATATGGCCGGGTAGACAGCCTTACAGACAGGATATCACAGATGAGTTACTCTTGGCCTTTTGTGAATATGACATAAATTTCGCCAGATTGTTGTGATCTCGAGATTCTATGTTTAACTGTGGTAAAATGATAAGTCATGATAAGGCCCTGACTCAGCCTCTGCCTTATCAATGAATGCACCTCCAGAGATAACTCAGTGTCAAAGACTGCCCCATAAGCACTCAGTATCTAGCTATGAAAGCCCTTTACACCGAGTCACTGCGCTGCTATCTCATAAATTTGCATAGACAGGTCTTTAAAAAAACATTATCAAATGGATGTGAAGATGAATGTGTGTATTGATGTCCCACCTGGTCTCCCACGATGCATCAGTATGAACGATGTCCCATGTGCTGGTGGTGTTGTGAAACTTCTCTACTGTAATGAAGGTCTTGTCCCTCTGCATCAGAAACAGCAAAGATTAGAAATTTGTACACGAGGCACAGTTTAAATACCCAAAGTGCAAAGAATTAAAGAAGAATTTCACTGATTTTTCAAAATTTCCAGATAATTCAGTTGCTGAAATGTAAACTAAGTCATTTGGAATATTTTTGATGTGGAATGGTGCATTATAGAGAAACTTATTGACTCAGTTTTCGTTACAGTGTTGGTGATAGGAACCAGGAGTCATGATGTCTAGAACAAAAATAAAGCCTTTTTTTGCTCTCTAAAATAACCAGTGAACCTACATGTCTCTTGTAGATTTTAAATGTAATATGTTTATAATGATAAATTTGACAAAAATGATCATTAAAAATGTTTTCTTTGGGTATTATTTTGACTTACAGTGCCCTGTATGTACTTCTCTGCCATTAATGGATTTTAAACAAATTACGTGGAAACAGTAGAATTCCCCTTTAACTATCATATAGCTCACCATGTCTCCAGAGTTTCTGGGGTTTCCAGCAACAAAAGTGACGGATGCAACCCCTCCCTGCACAAATATAACAGACCACAGCTTAACAGATCATTTTCATTAGCAACAGTAGCTCCATAATTTGGTTTGTTGAAATACTTACATCTTTCTTTTGTTAAAAGCAAAAGAAGTAGCATTGCTGAGTCAGCAGAGAAACACGCTAAACATTTCATTCTTATAGTGCTGCGAGTCACCCTGCAAAGCCTAAAAATTCATTTAAAAATCAAATCTGTGAGGTCAGGAGGACTCTGTCATACATCTTCATGAACTAGAAGAGACACAAGAGAAGGACTGACTTGATGGGCTGAATACCTAAGTGCTAGGGGGCATAGCACAGGGTGCTGGAATGAATGATAGTGTAGTGACAGCATAGTGGATAACACCATCATCCAGCACACAGAAGATCAAGGGTTCAATTTCTTGTCCTGAAGTAACTGTTATACCAATAACAGCCCTTGGGCTACACTCCTAGTGATACATTCACCCTACCATTGTAAGGTGCTAGCTAAACACGAAGAAAACCCCAGTTGCTCAGATTAATTCGCTGATGGGTTCACTTTATAACAATGCTCTTCCGTAAGTTGCATTCAACTACATAATTTCCCCAAACTGTCTGCTCTAAACCAGAGAAACCTGTCTTACTTACCACTTTATAAAGTGGATCAACTTGCTGTAAAACTTGGCCGAAGGTAGTGTTTTCTGGCTTTCTATCCACTGGTGGATCTGGCAGTAGAGAGAAGAGCTTACTGAAGAATGGAGGCTCAGGACCTTTCGGCAGCTCCCCGACATTACCCTGTTAGATATTTAGCAAATACATTACATTTGATAAAGCACTAAACACACTATTGCTGTTGCTGTGAACTAGCTTTCTGACCTCTAAACAACAGGCATTCAGGAGATTAGATAGGGGTCATCACCTGTGCAATGGCTCTGGCCAGGCCTCTAAAGTGCTGGATGTAGGCTGAGAGAGTATGAGGCCCATAGATGGTCGAAGCAGCTTCATATCGCTGCACCTATGAGTGAACAATACGCAGTCCGCACATATCTATGACTTTAAATCTTTCATCATGTATAATGAAGCAAGAATGAAACTACAGTAAATGACTCCATGCTTGTGTACCTGGTATTCTTCATAGGTAGTAATGTAGTGCGTGTAGACATTGCAAAGCCCAGCAACGACAACTTCAGTGTTGGTGAAAGCGTTTTGAGTTTCCAGCTCCTAAATGAACATAAAACATCATTGCCTGTCTTTCCACATGTTCAGAGTGAGTGTGCTACCACAAAGCTTGTGTCAGCTATCAGTTGTCACCCCATATTGTTACTACACTCTGAGCAGTATGGCTCTCCTAATATACAAATGTTGTTTTTTGAATATTGATATCGGATTGCCAGTGGCACACTGTAACTATTGAAGCTGGGCCTTCAGTTTCGCCACAAATGTCAAAATTTGATCTGAAGAGAGAAAAAAAACACCCCTATGATAATGTTAAAGTTTTTGTTTGGTTTGCCTTAAATGTCTCTTAGAACAAGCAGTGGTCAGTATCTAGTTACATGTACTCAGTTACATGGATTTAAGCAAAATTTTGATGAGTAATTTTTAATATTCTTACTTTTACTCAAGTGTATTTGTGAAAAAGGGACCTTTATTCAGTTACACTTTAGCCATTCACGCAGAGCTGCTCATTCTGTTTTTGTGTTTGATTTCTGAATTCTGTTCATGTTCAGAACCTGGACTGCTTTGCTCAGATCTCTCACTTGGTGAGCTTTAACATTTCAGTTTAAAAAGATCCCAAAAAGGGGCCCATATAAACTTCAGTTTCTGTGATGAGAGATGCTGGATATGCTAAGAAATTCCACTGCAGTTGTAGAGGGAACTCAGTACTTGACAAGTTGTTTTTGACAATATTTTTAACCCAAATTGTTTTTCGCTAGGCTATTTCTACTTCTGCTTCAGTCATTATTTCATTGAAGTACTACTTTCACTTGAGCATGGGTTTAGGTTACTTTACCAACCTATATTGTCCTTGATATCAATATCAGGAATGGTACAATTGAGCCTGAGGGCACAGCATTTTTTTTGACTAGTTGATTTATTCCATCTTTCAACCAATCAGAAATCAGACCCTGTATTTTCCATATACAGTGTCTCTTAAGTGTGAGTGCTGGAGGCATGTACAGTTCTCACCTGTTTGACAGCCTCTCTTATCCTTCTTCCTGACATAGTGCTACAAAAAACATGAAGAAGCCGCAGACTCAAAGCCTTGTATCTGATGAAAACTTAATTGAGGTTGTATTTTTCTAGTTGTTATTTATAACCTTGTTTCTAAAAAAGTTGGGACGCAGTGCAAAATGTAAATACAAACAGAATGCAATGAAGTGCAAATCATTTCAACAAATGTTAAAACTGAAAAAGTTTTTTTTTATTGTTTTTTGAAAAATATATCTCCCATTTTAGAATTTGATGCCAGCAATATGTTTCAAAAAGTTGGGATGGGGTAGCAAAAGTTGTGTAATCCAAAAAACATACCTGGTGGTTAATTTTCAACAGGTCAGTAACATGATTGGGTAAAAAAAGAGCATCTCAGAGAGGCGAGTCTTTCAGAAGTAAAGGTGGGAAGGGGTTCACCACTCTGTGAAAGACTGCACGAGCAGATAGTGCAACAATTCAAGAATAACGTTTCTCAAAGTGAAATAGTAAAGAACTTGAGGATTTCATCATCAACAGTACATAATATCATTATAAGCTTCAGAGAATCCAGAGAAATCTCTGTGTGTAAGGGACAAAGCCAAAACAAATACTGGCTGGCCGTGATCTTCGGGCCCTCAGGTGGCACTGCATAAAAAACAGACATGATTCTGTAGTGGAAAACAATACATGGGCTCAGGAACACTTCTAAAAACCACTGTCTGTGAAAACAGTTTGTCGCTGCATCCACAAGTTAAAACTCTAAAACACAAAGAAGAAACCATATATAGACAGGATCCAGAAACACCGTTGCCTTCTCTGGGCCCAAGCTCATTTAAGATGGACTGAGGCGAGGTGGAAAAGTGTCATGTGTTTCATTTCATTTGAAATTCTTTTTGGAAATCATAGACACTGTGTCCTCTGGGCTGAAGACCACCCGGCTTGTTATCAGTGCGCAGTTCAAAAGCCAGTAACCATGATGGTATGGGAGCATTTGTGCACCTTGCATGGGTGACTTGTACATCTGTAAAGGCACCATTAATGCTGAATGATATAGACAAGTTTTATGCAACATATGCTGCCATGCAGACAACATCTTTTTCAGGGAAGGCCTTGTTTATTTCAGCAAGACAATGACAAACCACATTCTGCATGTATTATAACAGCCTTGCTCTGTATTAAAAGAGTCCAGGTGCTAAGCTGGCCTGCCTGCAGTCCTGACCTGTCACCGATTGAAAAACATTTTGCGCATTATGAAATACAACAAAGGAGGCCCTGAACTGTTGAGCAGCTGAAATCCTATGTCAAGCAAGTATGGGCAAAACATTTCACTTTCAAAACTACAGCAATTGGTCTCCTCAGTTCCCAAACATTTACAGAGTGTTGTTAAAAGAAGAAGTAATGCAAGACAATGGTAAACATGCCCCCGTCCCAACATTTGATGTGTTGTCTTTGTACAATTTTAAATTAAATATAGGGTTTACATGCTTTGCGTATCATTGCATTCTATTTTTATTTACATTTTGCACAGCGTCCCAACTTTATATTGGTATTTAAGTCTAAAACTTGTTTTACTGTGAACTCACGTTACTTCTCCTGGAACTGCTACTATTGCCAGTGAGCCGATGGTAATAATCTGAACATCCACTATGGCTGGGTGCCATGGAAATGGCCAGTTCATCTAAAGATCCAACACACAAACACATAACAGTAGTAACAGCAAATAATTAGACATGGGAGGAGGGTACTAAGAGTGGTCTGGGCCTAAGAGCATTTGAAAGGCCTATGAAGTGGATTTTTAGTTGTAAAGGCATTTTGAACTCATGATGTAACTTAGCAGCAATTCCTTGGTTAGAATAAAATGTAGGAATACATTATTATTCAACTCTTTAAGAACCCAGAACTAAAGACCTTTATGGGAATACAATTCTGCAAATTTACAGGAAGGTAAGTAGAAGTCCCCTTATTTGGGTAACTGTGTGGAAAATAATCACAGTACACAGCTGAACCAGGTTTATGGGGGTGGGGGGTGGGAGGGAGTGGAAAAAACACAGTGATGCCATGTGAGTTGAGTCTTAATCTTTGTTGAATGAAATAACAAAATAAAGCAGAGTTCAGTGAATGATGTTATAGTAAACTACCATCTTTGATTTGGCCACAAAACTGCAATTAATCTAGCAAAGATCATAGAAATTGCAAATGTTATTCCTTTCTTCACACTTTACTTACACTCGACTTTACTGTCTAGAATGGCCACTAAGCTTCTTTTGAAGCTAATGAAGCCATTTCATGAAACGAGCAATTTTGTGTGATAAACAAGAGCTTTCTTGTGTTTTTTCCCAAGACCAAAGTAATTTTTAGCCTGAAACCTGACACTGTGGTTTTTTATGGTTTGTCTGAAATATATCAATAAATTAACAACAGTATTATTGTTATTATTATTATTATTATTATTATTATTATTATTATTATTTTAGTGGTAAATGAGTTTTTAGTGTCACTGGAGGCTGTTACCACGGCAACTTATCCATCACTGGGAACAGGCCTACCTGAATTCATTTATGGAAATCCATGACATGACCGGGACAGACTCAGGGTGACTTGATGTGAAATAATCCGTATAGATCTGTTCTTACCTCACCAGTGTTGAAGAGAATGGGTTTGGGGACATGGCAGTCCTGAGTTTCTTGGGAAGGAACACCAACCAGGGCATCCCTAATACCATCCCAGAATGGATCTCCTTCAACTGATGCTGTATTAAAGAAACACTGTCAGAGCAAGACGAACTTACAAAAATATGTATTTAAATCAGTCCAGTGATGTTGGCTGTTTAAGTACTGGACTGTATGCACAGGCTTCTTAATGAATTAGGGAGCATTAAGCTCACTCTCAAAAAGACACTTTCAGTTATAAAGAATGGTGGCCAGCCCGGGCAGCAGCATGTAGAGCAGTATAAGCTGTTTCTTGTGAATTTTAGCCATTGTTTCACTACACCAACACAACCTGAACAAATCGTGTAGCCTTAGCTTTCACACTTGCCTTGCGTGAAGTTCAGTGCTCCGCCTCCATCTGTTGTTCCCGCAGCAAAACTGTGGCCAAGTGCAGGTTTGCATGTCTTGGCCTGGTAGCAACAACTGGTTATCAATGCATACTAAAGTAAAAACTAGCTTTAACGTAAAGCTAATACTGTAAGGTATATACTGTATACTCATTTTTACTGAGTATAAGGTTTAAATGGTTTGCACATCATTGCATTCTGGTTTTATTTACATTTTGCACAGCATCCCAACTTTTTTGGAAATGGGGTTGTAATTACAGTACTGTGTAAATGTCCTAGGCATCTGAGAAAATGATACATAAAGCCTTTTGTCTGGAGAGTAAGCATTTACTTGTTCAAAAACACTAACGTTAGCATTAAATACAAAACACTAACGTTGAATAAATAACACAAGATTTCATGACTTAACAATTTCTAGGGAGCCCAGTTTTTATGGTTACCATGCAATACCTTGTTTATCTAGTCAGTCGTTTATTAAATTAAAGCAGGTGTGTCACTGATGGAAATTAATGAAATGTCTGCAGTCAAGAACCAAACACATACACTCTATGTGGAAATGTGTCTGCAGGTAGACTGTGGATATGTGATACAACATGTTATGATATAGTGTAAAGTGTGGACAATAGAAATTACAGAAAAGGTTTCAATGCCTGTTTCTACGATGTCCAGGACTTGGTGTGAACATTTGTGTCTGCAATGGTTACTCACGCTGTGGGTGGAGTTAAGCTGGACAGTGACGTCTGTCATGTTAACCCACTGATGAGCAGCGTAGACACTGCCATGCAGCTCCTGCTCAGCACTGCTATACAGCTCCTGCATGTCAGTACACTGTGTTAAGGAGCGTGGAGGACAAAGCTAAATACTACAGAAATTCTGTTGTAGGGGTATAAAAATGCATCAGTGCATCTTGATGCATTGATGTGTAAGTGCATATTTAAATGTATCTGTTTTAGAATGCGAGAATGTAACTAATTAAAAAAAATGTTTCATAAAGTATGCGCTAATCTGTGAAGTTTGAAATACTGGTTGGGTTTCCTCTTATTGAAATATGACATGTCTCGAAAAGAAAATGTGCTGAGAACATAAAGCTTATATCAAAATATATGTTAGTATATTTTCCTGTCAATTGAAATACAAGTGAGAATTAATACATATGCTGCTTTTCGAAACAATTCTGAATTGTAGCAAAATAACCTGATCAAATTAAAACACAGACAATTTTGTCGTTTCATAATGTATTAAATTGTTATGTGGTCAGAGATCTACTCCCATACCTTTGTCTTTCTGTAGATATTCTCTCCAATAATCCTGGTACTTTCAAACATGTCTTTACCCGGTCCGAAAGCAAGGCACATTTCATTCTGTAAAAACATGCAGAAAGACTGAGGCTTTATAAAAAGAGAAAATAAAGACTAGTAGACTTTTCTACTACTTTGTTGTTGACTGTGTGGAAGTAGAGATGCAATGCAGAGAACATTGTCCTTTTACTGTAAAGCTAAACCTTAACTTTAAAAGATTAGCATGTGGAGGATGACGATGCATAAACCTATGTACATCAACTCTCCAGGTACAGCTTAATATACATGCACAGATCACTGTCGTCCAATGGCAAAAAAATCACATCAACTGATCCAAAAAAATTTGATTCATTAAATCCTAGGAATGCAGTGATCCAGGTCAAATTTCAGAATAAATAAGACCAAAGGCATTCAGTAAACAAGTGTCAAGATTGGATTTGGCCCCATCATTTCATCCAGAGAGAAAAGAGAGGAGACATATGTCCACGGGGAGGGGCTTGGGAGGGCCTTAGGACCCAAGATACCCTCTATCCGTATATTGCAGTAACTCACCCCACCAATGGGACAGGAACTGTTGAGGTAGTCACACCTCTCTCCTGTGTTTATACAGTATGGACCTCGAGTGTTGGGTGACACGTCTCCACTGTTGGCAGAGGCCATTGCGGCTACAAATGGACCCTGAGCATGAAAAGACAATAAGACTGGGTGAAAATATAACATCACAATCATTAAAAATGTCTTTTATTATATATAAAATGCATCACAATGTTTTGTTTTGAGACTTAGGATCAATAAATTGGTCAAAATATACTAAAACAGTAGTTCCACATTTTAAAAAGGCTATGAAAACTACAAATCTAATGTAAAACTACAAAGTTAACAAAATGAACTACTTAAGAAGGAACGTTGAGGGAAGGAAGGAGTTGGTGACGATACTCACGATGCTCAGAAAAACATATTCTAACATAGTTTAACATATGGCCATATTGCTCAATCTTCAATAAAAGCTTTCCGAAATGACTACACATAAAAAGAACTCATCACCAAATCACTGAAAAGGAAAAGTAAAACTTTCTAAACAATAAAAGATTAAACAACAAGACATTATACCTTGCCAGATAAAGAGCCTGTGTTTTTGTCTTGCTCAAACAGATAGGCAGCGTAACCAAGGTTGTCTGAGCTCACCATTTGATTCGTCTCATGCATACTGACTGAATGAACAGCAAACGAGCTGAAAAGAGAAGTTGCAAAGCACATTTTAACTATAGTAAACCACAAAATGTTACATGTAAACAAATTCATTCAGGCCTAAAAATGGAGACGTCATAATGTAATCAAAAGACATCAAGTTGAATCAAATAATAAAATTAAATTAAGAATACCTGAGCATTCCCATCCCATCCCCATCCAAATCTGTGAACTTCAGGGTGACGACCTGCTTATCTGTGTCATATTTATACCTGAAGGGGAGTTCAGTTTGTATCAGACCAAACCTAATTAACATTTCATAACACAAACAGAAGTAATAGCAGCAGCAATATTATCTCCAAAGGGCAATTCGTTTAGAAAGAGCAAACAATGTAAAATCCAAAATGAACAATAAAAATCATCAATGTATATAGGCTGTACCTTTTCCTTTCCTCTTCAGGGTTGTTCATGTATGAATGTGGACTCCTGTTGCGGGTGTTATCTAGAAGCTCTCCTTTATTCATGAAGATTCTGCCAGGCCTCATATTCCTATGTGCCAAATCAATGCTCTGATGAAAGAGATTAAGACAGAAACGGTTATTAAGCAGAAACAAAGGGAATGAGAAAAATTACACTATTATTCATGACCATCTTGGCAATTTTGAAAGTTGATCTAGATCTGATTTTTCTATGTATTGTTGCCTTCACATATTGTATTATATTAGAAGGCTGAGCCATTTGTGCCCAAGGCTGACAAGCTTAGGTGTTGGACATTCACCTAACAGTTCAAGTTCAGCAGGTAACTGTCACAGAATATAAGAAATCTACTGGGGAGCTTCAAGTGAAAGTACTTTTGAAGTGAGAGCACAAAGGAAACCTCCCCTGTACAGGTTGCTCCTTATTGGAATATTTAAACCACTCATTTTAATTTTAATTAACGCTCTTTGTTTTGAGTATTTTGCAGATTTTGTTATGGCATGAATATTCTCGGGAACCCACCATAGTCAATGGTGGGCCTCGCTAACTTTTTTTGGGAGGTTGTGAATGCATTAGCAACAGCTGTTTTGAAGCAGTTGAGCAACTGTTTTGGACAGGAAGTGCAAGAAGAGCACTCATCAGTTCTTTTGATCATTTTCAGTCCAACTCTCAAAGAAGAAAAGCAGCTGTGTTCAAATCTGGAGTAGATTGTGATCCAAGTTCTTGACCGACTTGACCTGGTACAGCACCCATGGGAAATAAGCAGCTTCAGCATGGTCCATGTCCTGTTGGGAATAGTTGCATCCCATGGGGAGATACTAGAAGTCAGGCTGTCTCAATGCAATGAGATTGGAATTTTCTGAACATTCTAACATGGAATCTTGAGAAAATGAATTTTTCTGAACATTCCAATTTGGGAATTCAAATTTTCTCAACAGTCCAGTTTCGAATATTCAGAAAATTCCAATCTTCTCAACATTCAAAATTGGAATGTTGAGAAAATTTGAATTATTCTGAACATTTCTATGTCCTCAACATTCTAAATTGTAATGTTCAGAAAAATTCAAATTTTCTCAAAATTGCAAATTGGAATGAAGGAGGACATGCTTTCAGCAGGAAGGGAGCTGCAGGAGCCACTGTGCCCCAGAAAGACCCAGCTGAGACATGCATTTCCTGTCATCACTTGAGGCCCTGACAGTATTGGGCATTGAGCCCACTGGAAGGAAAATCACTTTCACAAACTTTCTTTTAGAGCAGTATAGAGGGTGGAGAGGCCAGAGTGATTCCTACACCAGAGCTTCTTCCACCACCATCAACACAGGCAGGATCCTCTTACTCATGGCTTGAGGATTAAGGAGTCTACTAGTCACCAAAACATCTATGCTTCCATTACAAAAGGCCTAGTAGGTTTGGGTCTTGCCAGCCCCCTCAAGAAGCCAGCAACTCTGGTTCTTGGTGCTCCTCTTTTAGAAAATCTATCACTGCTATGCTGATATATCCTCACTATTCCTTAACTGCCAGAAGTTTGGGATTTATTCATGAATAGAAATGTTCAGTGCCGTAATACTATGCACCTTTTTAGGTAGATTAGAAGGTTTAATTACATTAGTTTTATTAAAAGTTAAAGAAAATAAATCTAAATGTAAGATGCAAGATGTAGCGATTTGATGTAAAATGCTCTGTTCTAGAGAAACTTACTGAATCTATGTCCACTTGACAGTGGCTGAGATAGAAACCAGACATCTGAAGAGTTTGATGGCTCTAAAAGCTCCCCCACGGAAAGCTATTACATGAAATGTTTATGAATACAGTGCCTGATGATTTTAAGTGACCTTGTGTAGAGTTAAGAGACAAAGTAAATCATGGAAGAGGGGGTAGGCCCACTCCAAGCTTTGATTGGGATTAAATGATGCCAATGATTGAACCCATAGATTACAGAAAAAAGCATAACAACTTGCACTTTATTACTCAGACTTACAATCTCCTGCCTATTCAGACAGGTCATACCCTCACTATTCCCTTAGCAACCACAAGTCTGAGATTTTATTCATTAATAGAAATGTTCAGTACCATAGTACTATAAAACGTTGTTGTAATAAAACTTGTAATAAAACATCTTAGAGACAAGAACAAAGTTGATATGCACCTTCACAATTCCATTGACGATGGCTTGGATAGATGGCTTGATATACCCTTTACTGGTGATCATAAACAGAGTGTACTGGAAATATCCCGCCAGACCAGAATGTGTGTGTGTTCCACTCAGAACCACGTTGTCTTGCCTGTACAGATCTCCATATTTCAGCTCAAGCTCCTTCAGCACCTACAACAACCACAGCAGTGTAAGTTTTCAAAACTTCATTTCTAACACAGTAATAGTAGAGTTTTACTCACCTCTAGTCTCAGTCTTTGGGAGACCATGCCTATTTCTGCACTCACAAACACCACCCTCCTGCTGCTGTCGTCCACAATGAAGGCCCTACTGAACAAACGAGTGTGGATCCCTCCTGCTATCTGCTCCAGGTTGGCATAGCCCATCTTTTTCAAAGCAAAAATCAGAGAGCCCTATGAACTTTGATGGCCTGTTACATCACAGGACCAGTTTGTAAAGTAGTGGTCACCAACCCTCCTCCTGGAGATCTACCGTCCTGCAGGTTTCACCTCTAACCCGATTTTACCTCCTCATTCAACTATTCGAGGGCAATAATTGGTGGATCAGGTGGGTCAGCATTACCCAATTAGGGTAGCAAACTTTTTTTGTACAGTAGCAAAATCAAAAGAAAGATTTAATTTACTGTCACAGATAATAAATTAGGAAATGAAGAATCTTCAGGAAATGCAACTGTTTTATAATTGCAAACGCCTTCTCACCAGGGGTACGTCTCCCACTGGTCCAGTGCAGTCTGCTCGGCCTACTCCAATCAGATAGGGGTTCTCTGGAGGCTTTACTGAGGGAGTGGGTTCTTCTGGCTCCTCTGTTTACATGTCATTGAAGGTACACATATGGAATCCCAAGGCCAATGGAAGGTCAAATGAAATGGAAATAAATGTTACACATTTTCAACCTTTTATCTCTAACAGTTTCTCAATTTTTACATAATTTGAAAATGACTGTTTTATGATGTGTGAAAATGTTATGATGGATGAGACAACAGAAATGGTCCAACATTTCTCAGTATAAAATCTTTTCATATTAACTTACATTAACAAACATTAATTAACATAATTAATTAACATACATTAAAAATATTTTCTTCTGTATTGCTATAATTTTGGAGATACAACAGTGGCAAGATTAATGTCAATGCATTGGACCAATACCATATACATGACATACATGGTTTGATTAGTGAGAACAGAGAAAAAAAAAAGCAGTAGTGCCCATTTAAAAAGTACTACCAAATCCTATGAGTACAATAGTTTTAATTCAACATTTCACATATTGCGCTGCACTAAGTCAAACAGGACTAAAGATGTTCTCATGATATGACATAATTTATTGCAATAATGATATATATTGCAATGATACTATATTGACCACCCCTAGTTACAGCTATGTTTGACACATTCTGATATGTATATATGATAAAGATAATCTAGGAGCAGTTTAAATATGGGTAATGGGTCAAGATATGGCAATAATATGGCAACAAGTTATACTTACACAAAAAAATGCACGCTAATTTTCATGTTTTTACTATTTACTAAATTAGTAATTGCAACAGTAAAAGGATGGTAATAAAATGGTAAAATAATGGTAACAAGCTGTGCTAGTCTAAAAACTACATGCTAATTGTTTAGTTGTTCATAAATAATAAGTTAAGATAAAGGAAGATAAACATGTTGTATAAAGATGTGTGATGTGAGTTTTTTTAATCGCTCAACTTATTTCTGAGCCTTTTGCCAGATCTATACTTCATAATAGAGTAACAATATTTTAAATGTGCCAGTTCAGTCAATTTGGCTGGCACGAAACAAAGGCTACACGTTAAGAGCATGAGTCATTACGTGTGTGCGAATTGAGGTTGATGGCTAAGACTGTGATGAGTCCCACTGTGATTCCAGTCATCAGCAGGAACAGAACCATGAACAGAAGCTCCAGGCTACTGAGACCACAGCAAACAGCCTTACGAGCCATGCTTCTGCACAGAAACACAGAAAAGCTACTCAAGGACTAGAATTATGACATAGCTAGAACCTAAAATTTGATTTTATCAGAATTTAGCACACCTCTTTTCTTGATACTAAAACATTAGGCAAACCAGTGATGCAGTGCTGCAAATTACAAATGTAATTATTTCATGTGACATAAATAAAAGACTTAAATAAAAAGATCTAAACATCTACATATCTATATTTGTACTGTGAGATTGAACTGAAACAGAATGGAAGTAAGAAACTTACACCATCTATTAAAAAAAACAAAAAACAAAACAAAACAAAAAAAAACATATGCAGCGCTACTTACATTTAGTGGCCAAGCTCTGTGACAAAATCAATATCTCCTGTTCAGGAACACAAATGGATCTGGACTCAGCAGAAAGAAACACTTCCAAGGACAAAGATTGCTTGGTCTTGCATTGTTTTACAAGCAATGATCAGTTCTTTTATAACATACACCACTAAACACCTTTCCTTGTCAATGGGGAGATTAGTTGCGTAACTATTAAGATAACATATAACTTCCCAAAGGTCAAATCCGTTCAACAGTGATGTGTTAAAAACATTTATTCGAAGGGACCACAAAACAGAAATAACTCACACAAAAAAATACACTACACACTGCTTTCTGTTCTATATATAAACTAGAACAATGAAGTCAAAAATATTGTTTTTCTGCAGTATACTTCATTGCATTGAAAATAAAAAGATGAATTAGAGGCAAACGCAATTGTGGAGCATATGTTTAATACTATTTAGGAATCATTGCATAGTTTATGTCCAAACACCCTATTTTTTGGCCAGTATAAGTAATTGGAGAGCTGGCTGAACTTGTTTAATTGGTAAAATACATCTGACTTTTATCTTTCACTCATCTTCGTGAAACCAGAATCAGCCATTGGGCAGAAGGCAGGATACACACTGGACAGGTCGCCAGTCCATTGCAGGGCACAAAGACAGACATATACATTCACTCACAACTATGGCCAATTTAGCATGTCCAATTGGCCTGACTGCATGTGTTTGGACTGTGGGAGTAAACCTACACAGACATAGTGGGAACATGCAAACTCCACACAGACAGAAAGGACCCTGGTCGCCCGGCCAGGAATCGAACCCAGGCCCTTTTTGCTACTGCGCCACTGTAAGAAAAAAGTAAAACTTCAGAATAACTCACATAAAAAGTGACATTTTATAGAGTCATATGTCATTATATATATATATACATATATACACACATACATACATATATACACACACACACACACACACACACACACACACACACACACACACACACAAACAATACTATGAATATATATATTTCATGGCATTTGACTGAGGGTGCTCAAATGTTTCATTCAAGTATGATCAGACAAAAAATTGGTAAATAAATTAAATATAAACAGTAAAATGAAAATCAGAAAAAACACTTCAAACATAATTCTGTGCTAATGGTTGTCATTTAATTGTCAAAAAAGAAGGACAAACTATTAAAGTTTAGCAGCTTTTTTTTCATTGGATAGATTACAGAACAACTCAAATGCTATTGACTTGTGAGTCCTAATCTTGCTTGTTAAGCATACAGGACAACACAGTAGAACAAAACCTCTCCAAACAATCACTGCACACAGACACTGAAAAACTCTCCTGCCCAACGACCCGGAGTTAAGGCAGACCCAAAGACACAGGCCTAGACAAAAACAGCACAACACAAAAAATGAACCGGACACAAAATTGTTTTTTGTGTTCCACTGCATGGAATACTTACAATGAAACTCAGTAATAAATAAACTCAGTACAAATTAAACAAACAACAAATGATTACAGACATTTGAGTTAGCTTTGTGGCCATCACTGCCTCAGTAATACTTCGTTTTAATGTCCACCAAGTTTGATATACTGGAACAGAAACATGGGAAGAAAAATCCACTGCTAGATAATTATTGCTGGCAAGAACGACAGTAAATACAACAACAGTGTAAAATTTTACAATGAAATGTTTTCTAGTTTATAAGAAACAATGAAAGTGGAAAATTACACAAAAGCAATTATAACTACAACCACAGTTAATAGACATAAAAAGTAAATAAAAAAATCTGTGTATTTAAACTACAAGGCCCTTGTACTTACAATCAATTCTACCAGCAATAGTTATTTACTAGCCTAATTTTCTCTTCAAGCATTTTTGGGGTAAATCCCTTTAACATCAATGCTTTAAAGTAAGTGGTACCAGATACTTTAACATATGAAATCTCCTGGAATAATCCCATACTTCACGCATGTAGTGCTTTTGTAGAGAACAGATATGACTGCCCTGCTACACTTGAAATAAAGCATTTTTTAACCTAATCTATCTGCCACATCTATTTCATACGGCCAATTACCACAGACACAAACCATCAGGTGATTCTTTGTACTTAGCAAAAGAATTGAAAACTCACTGACTTGAAACATATTTATAATAGAAGCTAATGGGGAGATGATGAATCTACAGGTTTTCTGCTGTTTCTTTAATTAAGGTGAAATTACTGTTCATGGTAACTGACAATACTCTTTAGATGCAGCAGAGAGAGAGATTAGGTTGGGATTAGGATAGAGAGAAAAGGCTAGAGTGCTCCTTTAAAGAGTTTACGTCAACAGCAATGCACAACTGAGACCGTAATTACAACGTAAATACATAACCATATAACAACTGACCACACAAATCATTCATGGCAAAAAAGGCACTGAGGAACTTTATCACCAAAACAGTATTCTTGTCTTCATTTGCTCTCTGTTTAAAAAAATGTAACAGATCTGTTTGAAAAATAATTTATTTTCATAGAAACTTGTTTTGCAAATCTATGGACAACTACAAAAGGATAATTCTCTCCAAACACACAACTGCCCTCCACCTGAAGTCCTTCGTGGGGCCTTTCAGGATGGCAGGATTTCAGTTAAAGGGACATTTCTATATTAGGGGTTAAACATACTTTGAAAAGACGACTCTTCGTCCAATGCTTGGGGGAAATGTCTAGAGTCTTTCTCAAGTTAGTCAGTTTACTGGCTCAGTCTCCTGTAAGCACAAGGAAATGTTCACAGAAACTGACCACTACAAGCCCATCTACTTTAATTAAATGCAGGCTCAACTAAAGGACCAAGTTTAAACATCTACCCAGAAGACAATGGGGAATGCAGTCATTTGTTTAATATTTCTGACAAAGTGATCTGTTTTGGCATGCCCCATCTTAATCTAGGTGATAAAGACATTAGCCATTCTAGCCCTGTATACTACATACTACATAGCCGGCAGTAGATTGGGTCTAAAATGCAGATGGAATGTGGGCAGTGTGTGAGGAATGAAATGCTTTGGATGAGTTTTTGACAGTCACAGTGCCTTGTAGCTCAGTACTAAAGGGATTGGCTTAAGAATGAGAGTTTGTTAGGCTATCATCATGTGATTGAGTCCTGGCTCTTAAGGCAAGTGTTTCAAGTCCTACTCCCCGGTTGGAAACCGCAGTCAATCTGAGTCAATCCTGCTGTACTTCACATGACCCAACTGCAGCGATCTCCACGAAAAGGGAACGTGGTAGCTCCGGGGGACGACATTTTGGACGTTCCGCTCCAGGTACTGGAAAAACCTGTACCACCACACACGGGACAGGAAATTGCTCTGAGATGCCCCCTTCAGGTCCTGTACAAAAGAGGGGAAAGAAGTCAGGTCCACTTATCCAACAGCAATAGTTTGAGCATAAAGATTAGGACAGTAGTCTGCATAATAATTTCGCCCCTGACTGGCATCTAAAGGGCCTCATCATTAACTCATAATGTCTTTAACACCCTATAATCCATTTGTTTTATCTAACATTGCATAGTGAGTCACAGAATAACCACCTTCCCTAAAGAACCTGTCAACAGATGCTTCTTTAAAGGACAGCAGCATATGGTCGATTCACATACCTCGCTGCAGTGATCATACTGTACTTAAATTAATTAAAAGCCCAGAAAAACTTTTGGCTTAAAACACATATACAGTAGGGTTTCTTTTATAACTTTATCTGGAGTCAACAGGCTTTCTGAGGCAAAGGTGACTAAGGCAAAAGGTGGTTCTACTATGGCACTGATCCAAATAACCCTTCTGACATTTATTATTAGGAAAAAGGGACCCCGCTTGGTAAGACTTCTAGACCTAATATAATGTATATATTCTAAATTAATAAAATATTTCATTTATTATAAAAATCCATTAGCTTGGAGTTTTGGATTGCCATTTTTTAGGCAAAAACTAAAATACTGTGCCATTTTGTGCTGCTTTTGTATGTAATTTTCAGCTGAAAGACAATAAAGAAATGGCTGTTAAACTTTGCAGCGTTCCTGGTGATAAGAAGAAAAGGATGGACAAATGAAGCTAAATCAGGAGTGATGTGGCACTAAACCAGAATGCACTTCAATGATAAAAATGGCAAACTACAAATAGCAGGATTTGTAAAAAAAAAAATATATATATATATATATAAATAATGAACAAAATACTCAGTGTCTCTTTACAACAAAATTAGAATTTCAATCATTTAGGGCATTTACACCATATTAAGGTCTACAAGTCTTGCCAGGTGAGGCTAACTTCAAACCTTAGCATACTCACAAGCCTACATTTCAAATGTTTATTAGTCACATTGATCATTTTTGTCTGGTGAAGAGAAATGAAAATACAATTTCTATACAACACAAAAACTACAGGCTATCTATTCTGGCTAACCTAATGTTACCTGCACTTCACGCTAATAACTATCAGCTAAGGATACCATAAACAACTAGACTAACTTAGCAACCATTTTCCAGCTAATGCTAAAGTTTTAGCCTCAAGACTCTCAGCAAAACCAGACGTACAGTGGTGCCCTAACTTCCTATAGCAAAACCAGGTAATTTTTGGTTTCATCATTTCTATTTATTTAAAACAAAAACTGAAGATTTGTTACTTATACAAAAATAAAATACTTTAGAAGAATGTCAATCATTAATTTTTGACAAAATTCTGCAGGCATGATGAGCAAATGTTACAGGCACTAAAAAGTCTAGGTACTTGCAGGCTACTGTGTAAGGTGGTTACTTACTGGCTGGTTGGCCATGGTGTGGTACCACCAGAAAAGGCGTGTAGTGATGAAGTAGGCTACGACTACATCTATAGTGTAGTGGTCATGAGCGAGGAGGATGCAGAAAACACCCACGACACATAGTGCCCCGCAGCCCCAATGGTACCACCAGAACCGTCGAGGTGAGTCTGTGGAGCACAACGAAAATGCAAAGTTTGATTAGGTCTATAAATACTGCTGCCCTAGTCCTTTTAAAATCAACATAAGGGCAACAAAAGGGTGACTCAACTCCTTCATTTAGATTTCGACACGTGGTGCCGAGCGTTCTTTTTATTCCTGTAACTGTGGTCAGCTGTGGTTCGACTGCATTTAGTTCTTTCATTGTTTAAAGTGCACAGCTGTGTGAAGTCTGCAAACGATATTCATTCTAGGGTGTAACAGATAAAAAGCACCACAAGGTGGCTGTGCTGTTCAAACTGAGTGTCAGAGATTTCAAATCAGGGGAGAACTGTGTATTGTTTTCTTACATTCTCTCATGAAGAGATAGGTGAGGGTCAGCATGACAGTGTGACCGCTGTATAGGTAGTCTCCACACATGTTGTGAGAGCCAGTAATGGTTAAGCCGCCACCAGCGATCATCTTCATCACCCGCCGCATCTGGGACTCCCAGTCACCATACAACTGCAATAGATTGGACATTTGTGTTAGCCATGTGTTTGAGTCTCTTGTGCACCCTACTAACACTTCAACTGTTCCATCCTTCCAGCTGTGTCCTCCCAGCAAAAGCTGCTCCTGAAGGTGTCACTGACACTGTTACCCTTGAAAGAGGAACTAACACTCACACAAGCAACTTCTCAAACACACCTTAAACTGCTTTGCAATTATTTTTTTCATGTGCATCTAAAATGGCTAAAGGAGATATTTTTAGATAATCTATTTGCATATGGAAGAGGAAAGTCGAAGGAAAATAAGTGGAAGTTTCCAAAACTGGAGCTCAAACAATTGTTCAATGATATGGAGAAAATAGGACTCACAATGACCATGCAAGACTTGGCAGACCACCAAACAAGCCCCATTTTGACTTCAGATGTGAAAAAATCCCAAGTGTTTCTGTCGATCCTTCCACGGTGATAAGACAACTTAAAATATCGTCTGAAAGCACATGTAGCTATCAAGAAATCATTACTGAGAGAAAAAGAAAGGCAAATAGAAAAACATTCAGTGCGTTTGTTTAACCTTTTCCAACTATGACAGCCCAGTATTTAGTTTTGGTTATAATCCAAGACCTGGTTTGGGCAATTCATTATGTTAAATTAGGTGTGCTGGTGGTTGAATTTAACAAACCCATGCGATGGCTGGGGGCATCCAGGAGACATATGGAACCAAAACTTCTTAAACTTGCTTACAGTGGAGTCTCTATGTTTTTACTATATTTGTTATTTGGCATCTATTCTAATGATACACTCTTAAAAAAGGATGGTTATTCAAAGCTTCTTTAGTAAGGACAATACAGAACCATGAACATTTAAAGAACCATTTGCATGCTTAAAGGGTTCTCTGCATTTTGAAATAGTCCTTCAGACTGATGGAGAATGTGCTGTATATGGTTATACACCAATCAGGCATAACATTATGACCACCTCCTTATTTCTACACTCATTGTCCATTTTATCAGCTCCACTTACTATATAGGTGCACTTTATAGTTCTACAATTACAGACTGTAGTCCTTCTGTTTCTCTGCATACTTTGTTAGCACCCTTTTACCCTGTTCTTCGGTGGTCAGGACCCCCATGGACCCTCACAGAGCAGGTACTATTTGGGTGGTGGATTATTCTCAGCACTGCAGCAACACTGACATGGTGGTGTGTTAGTGTGTAAAAGGGCCTATAGATGGACCACAGTCTGTAATTGTAGAACTACAAAGTGCACCTTTATAGTAAGTGGAGCTGATAAAATGGACAATGAGCGTAGAAACAAGGAGGTGGTCATAATGTTATGCCTGATCAGTGTATATAGAACATTGTTAAAAAAGGGTTCTATATAGCACCAAATGGTTCTTCTAATGTTATAAGCTTGACATTGTAACAACAGAACATTTTGTTAGCATATGCAATCACTACAACTGGACAAATTTGTCCCATTGTATAATTAAAGATGTAATACAGAGCAAGCCAATGTTAAGCTGAAAGTTCTTTCCCATGTTTGTGAGAAAGTTTACGTTCTTTCTCTTCCTCTGTGCTGCATCCAACAGGAAAGCATGATCTAACAAGTGAAAAGGCCGTCTGGCTGAGCCTAGCTGATGAATGGTTTCCAGCAGGCCCTGCAGGGAGGATTTCCTGCCTTGTGTAGTGGGTGTATGCCCTCAGTTTCACACCCACCCTGATGACTCACACACAGAGACACGTCAGGGCGAGAGTTCCCCATGGGACTGCACCATGGCAACGCAGTCACACTACAAATAATCACCTTGCTTCTCTCCTTTATTACTCACTCTTCTTCTTTTAGCAGGCTTTATTTAGCAGGGTTTTTCAAACACTGCAAATTCCTCTTTGCAAAGAGCAGTACAATATTGCACCACAAATGCAAATATGTACAGTACCTTGAAAAGGTACTCAGGCCTAGGACCTTTTTTTTAACATAAATAATTACCACAGCCAAGGATTTTGTTTGACTGTGAATCGTTAACTCCATTCAGACTGATAAAAATTATGAATAGGAAAAAAAATAGAAACGTCACCAATACATCAATGCATTCCCCTTGAATAGTAGCTGGTTGAGCCACCACTCACAGCTATTAAAGCTAGTATGATGAAGTAACTTTGGCCCATTTCACTCTGCAAATTTGCTCAGAGGTTAACTGGAAGTGATGGAGGACTGCAGCTTTGAAGTCTCAGTACAAATGTTTGAAGAGGCTAAGATTAAAACTGACCAGGCCACACAAAGACATCAGTTTTCTTCATTTTAAGCTACTCTAGTGTTGCCCTGGCAGTGTCTTTTGGGTTGTTGTCCTGCTGAAAGACGGACTTCCTCCCCAGTTTGAGTGTTCTGGCAAAAGAGAGCTGGTTTGAATCCAGGCCTTCTTTGCAATTTGCACCATTCATCATCCCACCAGACAGTCAGTCCCTACAGCTAAAAAGCATCTCCATAACATGATGCTTCCAACACCAGATTTTACAGTGTGGGTGGTGTTACCTGGCTGAAGTGATGTATCTGATTTATCACACATGCCACTATTACACAGTATTCAAGCAAATAAATTCCACCGTAGTATCATTAGACCATAAGACTTTTGGTCACATCTTTGGAGTGTCTCAAAGTGACATCTTGTAAAATATTTACAGGCATGTAGTGCCCTTCTTGTTTGTTTGGAATGCTAGACTGACCTAGGCGAGGCTCTGGTCTTGTATTTTTTTATATCGCATTATGATAGACTGAACTGAGCTTGGGGGAAATTGCAGTTCTGTTCACGTTTGGCATCAAAATACATCCTGCATATGGATGTTGCTTGTATACATATTTAAAAGACAAGTCTAACTGTGTTTGTGATCAGAATGTGTTCAAATCTAGCAGCCCTGATCTCGAAGTAGCTGAGCACTAGCTTGACTACATTCACAGTCAAACGTAACGAGCGCTCCACCCACAACTTTCTTTATCATTGCAGCCTCATTACAGCTAGACTATGTTTAGGGGTATTTAGAGACCTCTCTGGTGGAAACGTCATTGCATACAATTTTGGAACATGGGTTGTGCTTCCTGAGCCTACCTGAGCAGATGAATCTGAAGACTGCAGAGTATTCGAAAGAAACTTAAAGGACGTGTCTTCTGAGTGAATTATCTACTATTGTCATCATATCTTGTATAATGTTGATTTTGCATTTAAGACCTAAACATCGAGCTGGAACTTCTTTTGGTCATCCAAACATGATTAGATCCCTGATTTATTTTGAATGCTCTTTTGTCTTAATTTTATCACAATGATGTTTGATTTCTATTTTCAGTTTTATTACTGCTGAACGCTGCTATGTGTCTCATTCTTATTTATCAGCAAAGTTGTATTATTTATGCAAATGCTATCATCTGTTAGATCAGCTGATGTCAGCACAGCATTCTCTAAACTGTTCCTGTTGAGGCTCCCTTAACTAGCAAACTAATGTAGTAGCTTTTTGGGGGAGGAGGTGAAGACAGACAGAGAGGCGTATAAACAGAAACAGGTCTTTCTGCGTAATCTCAGTGAGTAAGTATATTTTAAAAACAAGCAAGTAAAAACTAAAAAGGTGGGTAAAGAACTTAAACAAGGCAAAAAATGAAAAAAAAAGTAAATTCTATTTCCACGTGTGAGCGGCAAGATAAAATACTACATGTAGTCTAATAATTACAAAGAGAATGAACACTTTAAATCTAATTTCATTTATTTTAGTAAACTGTTGAAAGATTTTAAACATATATATATATTATATATATATATATATATATATATATATATATATATATATATATATATATATATATATATATATATATATACACACACACACACACACACACGTAAAACAATGTCCTAAAACTAAATAAGAAACTATATATATACACCCACACACACACACACACCATGTTCCTAAAACTAAATAAGAAATAAGAAACCATGACTTCAGAACTGATAAACAACTTCTCAGACCACAAGCAAAAGGTGTTCTCTACCTCTGAAGCTCTACAGAGGTTTGTGCAAAAGAAGTGCAACAGCAGAAAACCGTACACTAACGTATGTTTTATGGGCACAGCCTATATGAAGCTGTATTTGCAAAGTGAATGTGCAATAAATGCTAGCGTTCACATGACAGCTCTTATTGCCCAATTCCATTCAATTTTTGGCTTAGATCCAGTCTTTCTGCCTTCACAGTTAACATTCATGTACGTAACCCGTATGTCATTAACATCAACACACCTGGGCCCTGAAAGGACCAGCATGCACATTTTAGCATCAAGATACCCTTGATTTGCTGACAAAACTGGAAGATGACCATATTGATATCACAGTGAAGTGTTACGCAAGAAATACTTTAATAGTCAACCTCATTGTGGTTGCATTACCACATATCAAGATATGGATTACAAACTAGAAGCATATATCTTGGACTCAGAATTATAAGGTTTTATGTGACATTACATGTGTCATGTAATTAATCATTTAGAGATGACAGTATGTATTTTACAAAAAGAAAAAAAAATAATAATTTCTTGAAAATTGCCTGCTAAATTGGAATTAAAATGTTCTATTTGCAGTTCACTCAGTGCAGCTGATGTGGGATAACCAATCAGAATTCAGGTTTTGCTCATGTGCCCAAGCTCAGCCAAAAGCTCTTGATAGACTTCTTAGACAATTTAGTAAGAAATCATAGTAGCAAAAGGTGACTGCTAATGTGCTAAGTTGCTAAGCATTTCTACAGAGTTCAAGGCTCAATCACTGAATTAATAACTTCTATGGCCTCTCTATGCAAAGTGTTTTTCTAAAAAAGTTAATTTTGTGCAAAGATACATGCCCAAGTGATGCATTTCATTTACTTGATTCAAATGCATAACTTAATAAAGTAAATATGTTACATCAACACAGTTCTATCTTTCAGTTTACTGATAGCAAAAGCTGCACTGATGTAATATTTTATTCATGTGGAAATGATGGACAGATTCAGCTATGTACTATTTTCTTTGTTTTTGTTTTTATTTTTGTTTCCCTAGCAGTGAGCCACCCCAAAAAATCTGTCCACACCATTCTAAAAGTTCTAGCTATGGCCCTGTCTACATTTCATGTATTATAAGCATTTATGACAACAGAGTTTGAATCTTGAACAGTTAGTTAAGTTTCTATGCCAGATCGGGGTTGTTTGCAGATAGAACCTTATAATTTTAAACTTATCCTACGACTTTAATGTTAAGTGGTTACAAGGTAAGACAGAGACTTTGTTATGACAAGAAAAGTGATTGAACTTTTTAAAACCTGTTTTAGCATTTTAAAAGTGAACTTTTTGATCCTCAATATCGCGAAACTGAACATAACAGAACCTTAAAATTCTAAGCCAGCAATATGAAAGTGGCTCCAACTTGGTTTCTGTGTTCACACAAGAAATATCCAACTTGTGACACACCACAATCCTGTAATGTGAATGTAGCCATTGGATTTGGTTTTGAATGTATGCATGAACTCCTACCTTGGGTGAACACTTAAAGTGCATCCCTGGAACAGGCAGAGTAGTAATGTACATGGTGATACACCGGTACAGATACAGGGTCCCCACAATGAACAGGAACCGCCTGCCAACAATTGACCTGTCAACGCAACAAGAGACAGAATGATGTCATCAGAAAAACAAATAACAAGGAATTTAAAAGCGTGTGCTGTTGGCCAAAACACTTACTTGTGTTTCATGAGACTCCACTGTATGATCCACAAGATCACCAGAATCATCCCGTTTATCTCACATACGGAGAAAGCCCACTCCACTCGGTCGAAGAAGTCAAAAAACTTGTCAGGTAAGGGAGGGGTCGCCTCCTTAGGAGGCACACGCTCGTGCACTATAGAGATCACAATGGTGGTGATGACGAAGCAGCAGATGGCGTATAAAAAGGCTACACCGGTTTTGCCCCATTCGGTGGGGAACTGTGGGCCAGTTGGCTCAGGTATGGGAATACGCACCAGTTCCTTATTATAGCCATTGACCAAACCATTCCGTTTGTTCTTGCTGGAGGCACTGGCATCACCATTGTGAGATACGACCACATGACCGTTGGCAAAGCCATTTTTATGCACTTCGATATGGTGCTCAATGTTGAGCGCCTTGATCTTCTCCAGGAGGTGCTTCCCGCCATCTGATGTGATTCGGGATAGAGGAGGCTTCTGGAAGTCAGCCTGGAAATAAGGAAGGGCATGTTTATCACTTTTATTCCTAACGGTATACAATATTTTCACATTAGCATATTCAAATTTGTTTAAAGGAAGCAGTTGCAACATTTTTTTTTTCTTTTAAATTCATTATATAGAAATGTCATTTCATTTAAAACTTTTGGCACAAAAACTCCAGCACAAAACTAGAGAAGCAACTCCAGCACAAAACTAGAGAAGCAAACTTCAGAAAATCCAATATTTTATTGCCTGTGCATTCCTTGCAGATGCAGAGGTAGATTAAAATACCTGAGAGAGCTGCAACAAGGCTCGGCCGTCCATGTTTCGCAGGGGTCCAGCATATTCCTGCATGCCCTCTTCAGCGAGCCACAGACCAACCTCTTCCTCAGACCACTGAGCTGCCTTCTTCATGCCCGTCCCTCAGCTTGTAGAGATGGAGTGGAGAATCAGAGGCAAGGGAGAGGAGGGGGCAGAAGAGTGCAGACCACTACAGTACACAAGAATATCCTCCAGTTGCAGTCATTTTTCAGAAGAACAGCAGCCGAAAATGATGACTGTAGAAGACAAGCTCAAGGCTTCACAGGTATTAATCCAAATAAGATGTCATCTCTTAACGTTCTGCGCTGTCTGGGATAAAAAGCAGATCGAGAAGATCAGTCAAAGCACTTCAAATGAAAAATAACTGACAGCAGATTCAAAGTACAAAGTAGAGTTTGTGGACAAACTAAGTTGGCTCGCCAAAGCCTATTACAAGAGCATGGAAACTAAGAACATGGGAGTTGATGAGCTTGAGAATTTGAGGAGTTGGACCATTATTGTGTTTAGATCGAAAGAATTTTGACCTGAATGTAACAATTACCTTGGAATCTACTATGAGATGATGGATGGATGAACGAAAGATAGCAGGGTTAGATAAGTGCAAACAAAAAGCAAAGGATCTCTATGGCAATATGGAATGATGGGGAAAAAATGTGTTAAAGAGGAACAGAGAAAAACAGTGTGTGTGTTGCAATAAGTGTTGAAATATGTTTAAGATAAGAGTAAAAAGCAGTTCAGTATTTTGCACATTTGCTCAAAGAACACGACCGCAAGTGGTAGAAAGACAGCACCACAGCAAGAGGTTTTAGCTTGAAAGGTAACAGAGCAGTTTATGGGAAAGGGAAAATGACAGGGGGATAAAAATGGATTTAAAAAAGGAAAGAAAATCATCTTCCTACAAATAAAAAATAGCATTATTAAATTATGATTAGGATAATGAAGTGTATGATTGTGCGAAACCTAAAAAAGAAATATCATATAAAACTTGATCAGAAAATACTTTCATCATTACCCTCTGATGGATTATTTAACCTAACAAATATGACTAAACATAACCACAGATGTGTGAAAGTTTTCCCAGAGCAGAAGCACGTAACAAGTCAAAACAGGGACGTTCTCAAACACTGAGAACCTTAAGTGAAATAAAAGTGTTTGAATTCACAATTTAACCTCTTAAGTTAAGCTATAGCTTGTAGTTGACTACAATGTTCAGCTTCAGGAAATGTATTAAAAAATGAAAAATGAAATGAAATGGGGGAAAATAAACAAGTAAATGTTTCTGACCAGAAATATTTATTTATTTTAGTCTGGTTTGGTAGTTCTTGCTATATGTTTAATAAATTGCCTACAAATTGCTTCTTGTTAAAGAAAGAATACACACTGCCAGTATATCTACCATCTACCCATTTAAATGGCCAATCACTGAGGGCCAGTGCTTTCTAGGTTAAGTTAGCCTGAACGTTACTGTCACTGTAATCTTACTTTTGTAAAGCTTTTAGGCTGGCCTGTATTAAAATATACCTTAAAGCAGCACATTTTCTGTCATTTAAATCATCTGACTTGATGGTATTGGGAACTGCTAATGGATGGCTCTTGTCAACTGGCTCATGTCTACTGTATATATAGAGTAGACAACTGGAGAAACACTCATATGAAGGCTAACCCACCTCAAACTTTCTTTAAATGCACAAACAGGAAATTTCCTGCTTTATTAGGATTAGGTCTGTCACAATGATTGCAATTATTTGAGTTGTTCGAGATGTTAGGGATGTTAGCATTCACAATTATATGATCATGCAGCAACAAACAAAATGTAAATGTGATGCTTTTTCACTGGTTGAGGGAAATATATGTGCATAAAAGAAACCAGAACACACATTTACGTTTAGAGGACAGCAGTGAGCAATGTTAGTTTATTTGACCTTGAACCGTCTATAAATCACTTAAACCCACGAAGTACCGAGAGCTAGGAAGCAAGACAGTTAAAATTTAATGATCATGGCTGGGCTATTTGAAATTCATGCAGGCCTGTTGCCAAAGCCCATGAGGAGACGCATCTTACTCTAACCGATATCCACAGCCCTTCTTATTGGTTAACTGAAACACATGTATTGCCTTCACTTGAAGAATTCAAAGAACGTGAGCTTGTTAGCCTGGGTGGGGCAAGTCTGCTTACAAATCTGCTCCAGGCAAAAGGAAGGGATGTTTCACTTATGGTTTATGTTATGGTGGGGCTTCCTCTGAGGCACAATCAGCTGTGTAAGTTTCACAGACGCAGTTTTAGCAAATCAAGATGAAAACAAGTCCAGCTTTCTGATATACTTTCATCAGCACAAGAACAATGAAACACACCACAATAGTTTTAAGCACACAGATGCACCACAGTTACTGCGCCCCGCCCAAAGTCAACCCTTCAAGTGAAAAAACTGAAAGTGTCTCAGTTGTGGGTAACGCATTTGGAATGAGTTACATAAAGTGTGGTTAATTTCTTACTCAAACATGCAAAAGTTAGGCAACAAAACCTTTTGTAGGCTTGTATGGCTGACATGCAAACAGAGGCCTCTACTGTACACAGATAACACAAAAGTGAGAGTGTGGCAACTGTTTGATGTCAAACAGCAAGCCTAACTCCAACTAGCTTCCAAAAGAGATCCAAGGAGGCCTGGGGCCGTATTACAGAAACTTTCTATCTTTTTGTCTTAACTTAAGATCTGACAGGTCAAGATAACATCTTTCACAAATTCATATTACAGAAGCAAATCTTGTCTTCATTTAGGAATTTTATTGTATCTTATAGCATCTTATCAAGTTAAGAAATCTTAAATTACTCGATCGAAATCGACCATCAACCGTCATGTCTGCTAACTAACAACTGACCATATGCACACAGCTGAAACGTAAACACGTGATCAATCAAGCTAGTTAGCCAGGCAGCTAGCGACCATTACCGATGTAACAAAAAAGGTCAAACATATTCAAGCATGATAACTGAAAGTTAAGAATATTGTGGCAGCACTTCATGCTGTTTTTCAGAGCACTGTCACTCCACAGTTTCAGTTTCATTTTCCAAACACTTCAACGTTTTTCCTCCTAATAAACAGACACACTTCAGCTCTGTCTCCTCATTATTCACCACCATCACTGGAATATTTATCTGATGAGTTTTCATCAACATTAACACATGAAGGTAATAAGAGGGGATGGTGGAGATCGTGTCTGCAGCATCTGGGGTTTTAAAACTCTGTTAGAAAAAAAAAACAAGTCAAAGCACCGTTTTCAGTGTAGATATATGTTAACGTCATTATGCTAGTTATAGTGAACTATACTGACTGTCACTCCACAAAACAACAGAAATGGCTTAACACTTGTGCCAATTACTGAAAATATCCTTGCAGCAGAAGATGAGTTCTAGGGTTTGGGAACATGCGATCTACTCAATGTCAAGAGGCTAATCAACCTTTTAAATAATGCACATCAGAACAAGTAATGCATTCAAAATCTGTGGTTGGATCTCAAGGCTTTAGACTGATGGGTTAAAGCCCCACCAGATCAAAGGGGATTTTTCAAAATTTCTGCCTAATTAAATTAAGATGCAAATAAGTCAGTAATAAGTGATTTGATGTGAAATGCTCGGTTCTAGAGAAACATACCCAGTCAGAATTGTTCACAGCAGTAGTGACAGGAACCAGATTTCACAGGTTCACAAACAGTTTTTACATGAAATGCTTATGAATACACTGCCCAAATGCCCAAGACATTGTTTTACAACAGTTTTAATATAAGGTTTTGATGTAATAGATAACAACAACAACAACAACAACAACAACAACAACAACAACACAACAACCACAACCAAAAAATATATGCAGGGTGTTATAACACAAAATAGCACAAAAAGTGATTTACCACTATCAACGTTACATATAAAAACTCATGTAGGTCCACCGATTGTTTTGGATAATAAAAATAAAAAAAAATACTTGTGTTGTACACATTTTGACCCCTGGTTCCAATCACCACCATTGTAAAGAACTGAGTCGGTAACTCTACAATGCCCCCTTTTATATCAAACCCCCATGAATGACATGATCTCAGTGATTAAATTATTCAGAACTTTTGGTGGAATTCTCCTTTAAGAGTTTGTGTTCCAACTCTAAAATAATAACTGAACAATGTCCAAATCAATGTTTCTGAAACCAACTTCACCTCATGTGATTCACTGTACGTAAACAGCTACATTCAAAACCAGTTTTACTGTTTTATCTCTCCTTTACGACTTGTTCTTTCCTGAGTACTACAAGCATAAAGCTTAACTTAATCTACAGCCACTATATACAGTACCCACATACCGCCACATGTCTTCAACGTAGCATGAGCTAAACATAGCAACACAAGGTTAAGTGGTGACCACGGTCATGAAGTACTGTAAACTCTCTTACATAACGGTGCACCTCATACATCACTGCCAGCTATAAAACCTCTTAAAACCTCATTTCGTGCTCACACCATCTATCTGGTTATGTCTCTCAACACCTACTGTTTCCTATTCAAAGCTGTGTTTCTGTTTAAGCTTACCACAGTCCCACTATTAGTGTTGGTAGATCTGCTCTGTCCGTGCTGGCCCCAAAACACCAAACACCACTTGCTCCTGAAGTTCTCAGCCTCTCTTGGCTCGGCTCGGCTCCTCCCTTCTACTGACTAACTCCCTCCGGCCACACAAAGCCCCGCCTGAGCCCTCTAACTCACTCATTTAATCTTCCACTGAGCAGTGACTGGCCTCCATAAACCGCCACAAGTCTTGCGCAACTGTTAGGCTCTGTTAGTTAGTTGCCTAGCAACATCAAGGAAAAGGGAAAGAATACATATATCTAATGAGTAACCATATATGAAACTAACAACTTAATACTGACTCACTCAAGTGGTTGCTAGGATGAGAAAAATGCCCTGTAACACAGCAATTTGAGCAACCATTCTGAGTAAGAGACCATTCCAAATCCAAACTAGTAACCGTTCTTAGTAGCAGGTCACACGGTGAACCTAGTTTTATTCAACTTTGACTTAAACAAAGCAAAACACACATTTATCTTTTAGATAACCAAGAGCAATATTTTCCATCCATAAAAATGTCAAATCACCATCTAAATTTACAGAGTAGCATAGTGCAAACTTTTTTTAAAAACTACTACAAATTTAAAAAAAAAATAAATAAATAAATAGTATAAAACAAATACTGAAATTTCGCATATTTAGTAATACTTAAACCAAATTTAAACTTTAAAAAATAAACAAAACTTTTGTTTTCTTTTATA